TGTAACTGAGGAAGACCTAAATAAAAGAACCTACCTTGGCCTCTTCAAAGCTTGACATATAACCAAACGAAACCCTAACAGCCCCTGTTGGTTTTCCATTAATCACATCATTGTCATCCCAGCAAATATGTCCAGCCTGGATTAATATAAAGAATGTCATGATCAACTCTATAATAGCAGATCTGCTCAATCAAGGCCAGTAAATAGAGTAATAAGCAAAATGGAAAACAAGAACAATTGTACCTCTACATTAGACAATAGATCAGAATGAGACAAGTTGAGATACTTTGCACATGCGCCAGGATTGCAAAAGCATCCTGTCTACACCAAAATGACAGATGGAATTCAGTCCTTCATCTTACTCAAATAACTTCTCTTCTTTTCTGTTTTCTTTCGGGTGGAAGAATTCAAAGAGAAAAAAAACTGAACTGTGTTTCCAAAACATACCCGTAACTGAATTCCAGACAAGGAAGCAAGCTTCTCCACCTCCAAGAAGCCAAACCAAGAGCCATCAGGTCTCTTCAAGTTGAACGTAACCGTTGGGCCTGATTTATGTGAAGATAACTGTAGCATAAAGCTCGAAATGAATCAAACACGAAGAAGTCCATATGATTTCTGAGGGTAAATGAGGATATTTTTAGGTATATAATGATAAGCATACTTTTCAATTATGAGAAGAAGAAACTACTTTTCAACCACAAAATAACTTACGTCCAGATTTTCACTGCCATACAGAACACATACACCAGCCCCGTTTCCATGTCTTAAAGCCTGAAGACTCTTCTTCACATACATAGAAAGTGATGTTGTGTGCCTAGGAAGTAGATACAGAACACACTTTAGCTTCCTACACTAGCAGATGGTTTGGAGGCAACTTTTAAACTTCTACAAATTTCAAACAATGGTTAAGAAAGATCAACAACATATGAGTCCTCAACATGCAAGGCCCTACAATACTATCTTCTAGAAAGGAGAATTATTAGAATCATTTTCGAGACAAGTGATTCAGCATGTGGGACGAGTTCTACTCACATCCAAATTGCAGAAGGAGTAAGGGACTTGAGTAATTTAAAGCCATGGCGGATGGCTGCTATGCTCAAGAATGAAGCAGAGCCATCCTCGAAAAACTCCTCCACTCGTTCTCTTCTTTTTACAAAGTCAATGTCAGCAATTGAAGCAGCAACAGTGCCTGTACGCATTACATTAATTAAATGCCACGCAAATTCAACCATATTACACAACCAGTTAAGATGCATACCTCCACTAAAGTAAGTCTTTTTGATCAATTTGGCAGCATCTGTAGATTATAACAGCGAGAAAAAAATATCATGTCAGAAACTAGCATTTGCTATCTTGGCTTCATCAAATTGTACAAGCAGATCTTGCTTAAGATATGAGTCTGAAAGGAAAGAAGAATAAAATGAAAACAATAATGGAGATCTTAACAACAGAACCGCCATGATCAGGGATACGAATTTAAAGAGAATGTTTCTGAACTACAGTCACATATATGAAGATATACAAAAGGAAACCTCAGGAAAAATCACGCACCATTCCGAACAAGGAGAGCACCAAGCCCAGTAGGATACCCAAATAGCTTCATTAAAACAGCGGAAACAAGAAAGTCAAAATCTGATACGAGAGAGCTTCCACATTCATTTTTTAGAAAGAAAAAAAACAGGAGCTACCTTGTAGAATGACACGACAACAAAATCTGCAGGATACTCCGACAAATTAGGTGGTAGTGTAGCACTGCCTTTGGCAGCATCAATCAAGACCATCCATCGCTTGCTCCTTATAACAAGAATATAAGCCATGATGAGAAGTCAAAACAATAGAATACCAATAGAACGAACCAAGTCCTAGACACACTTGATATCAATATAGAGAGAAGTATAATAATCTGTTCAAACTAGTTCCTTCAAAACTACCAATGCAAGACACTAAGGAAAATGAGAGATGAAGAGCGAATATAAGACAATACATACGTGCCAAAGGGAGAGCCTTGCAGCGTAGTTTCAGCATTTTCTTTAATCAACTTCACCAGATCCAGGTTGAACCTCAAGCCGGTAAAGTTGCACTCTGAGGGGAAAGCAAATAAATTACAAGCATCTCCTGTAAACATGTGACAAAATCAAATGCAGGATAAGCAAACCAGCAAAGTCGACTAGATACCCAACGTACAAAAAGATAACATGCGCTACATCTTGAACAGACTTCATACAGGATGCAATAACAAAGAGAAAATTCCCAAACTAACGGACCTCTTGACTCTTCCTTTTGGAGTTTAGAAGTGTTTCTCATCTGCACAGCACGATGCTTTACCTTGATAGATGGTCCTGAACTTTCTAGCTGACCGGGCTGATGATCTGCCTCTTCAATATCCACCGCACATGCTGAAGCACCTTGACCTAATGCATATTCCCTAATACCAAGTACACTGTTGTGATTCTCCATGGTATACAAAAAATTACTGTCATTCGTCCACGGAAACGTCTCCCCGACAAGCTTCAGTGCTGCTGTGGCTCCGGAAGTGAATATGCAACAGTAATCTTCAGGAGATGCATTGAAGTATTCAAGTACCTGACTCCAGTGAGCAATGCAGATTGATTTTAAAAATAAAAAAAGAACCAACTTATAAGATATAAAAACAAAAACCTTTCTCATAATGTTAAGAATGTAGTACCTGATGCCGAGCATCCGCTATAATGTCACTGGTCGCTGAACTGATATCACTCTGACTATCTGAATCACTATTAAGGAACCCTTTTCCGCAACATAGGCTCGCAAACAAAAATAAAGATATTATACAGTTCATACTAACAATATATACAGAAGAGGCTAACTACGATTTTTCGCTCCAATCAACATCAGAGTTTTACATCTTCAAGTCGTTAACTTAGCAGAGAAATACAAAATCTGAGATTCAGACCTGAATAGATCTGCCATCTCATCTAGTAAAAAAAAATGTAAAACATGTCTAATGAGGTTTCAAGAGATTAGGATACGTGGATTTCCATAAACACTGCTTGTAAAGTCCTTAAAAATGTTTTCCATCTGCAACTCAGAATACAAAGTAGAACCAGCATGATCCAAATATACGACACCTGCATACACCAACAAGAACAAAAATTTCACTTTCAAAGAAAATCATTAACACAATTTGATTCATTCTGAGCAAAATTGAACTGTTTATATGAGTACTGATCAGTGATCACCAGCGGTCCTGAGACTCCAAAATCAAAAGTAAATCGATTAAAAACATAACCTAAGCTCCATTGACTAAAGACGAATTTCAATCGACCAAACACAAACACAAACTCAATTCATTTCGGAACTCTCAAGTAGTTAGCTGTTCCTCCACGGAACAAATCCAATAATTATTTCTCAGAACTTTCAGCTTAAATTCTAACTCTATTGAGATCCTCGAGGAGAATATACACGATTCGAGAAACAAAATCAAGAGGCCAAACAAAATGAGGAGATTCAAAACAGACCTTGGTCTAATCTCTTGAATTCCGTTTCTCGGATCTCTTTGATGTTCTTAGGAGCATCTGGGTATCCGTAATAATCTCCGAATTCATTCATAAATTCTTCCATCGCGATAATCTTCCCGGAGGTAAATCTCTCTCTTTCTCTGTTGATCTCAGAAAGATCGCCGACGAAAAAACAACGGTGTCTCCCGGCTTTTTTAAAAGAAAAAACATTTTTCTCATCTTCCACATAAATAGTAAAATAGCATTAGAATTTGTATTGTATAATGTAAAAGGAAATATAATTGGAAAAACAGCTAAAGCCTTTTAATAGAAAGCCTATTAACTCGTAGCCTTCAAATGAAAAGCCCATTAACATTGACTCTTGAAGATTGATCAGACAAATTTGGAGAGTGAACGAACAACCAAGCTCTAATCGTTTTTGTTTTCCTAATTTGAGTGTTATCTTCTTCTTTAAAACGTTTTTAGGTTTCATTATCGTTGCCAGCAAACAAACAAACAAAAATTGTAAAGTTTTCTATATTAGAGTTCAAATGAAACTGTATTAATCATAAAAATGAACATCTATATCACGAATGATTATGAAATTTTCCTCAATAGTTATAATCGTTTTCAAGTATTTCATAATCTAATGGGTATAAGTTATAACAACCGACCAAGAACAACCAACTATTAATTACGTGAGTGTGGATGTATATTCATATCACCAAAGGATCTTTCGTTTGGTGTTTTATAATCTTGCTTGATTTTCTGATCTTATTGTTTTTGTTACGTAATTTATGATAATTAATACATGTGAGAAAACAAATTAAAGATTGAACGTTTCACAAAGATGCAAACAGAGTATACATTGTTAATGTTTACAATTTATAAATGGCATTTCATTAGTTAAAGATATATCATATGTTTAAATGATGTGTTTGTTGATTAGTCGATGTGTTAAGCAATCAAATTCTAAAATTGTTACAGAACAAATTTTAGATTTTTGACTAACTCGCAAGTAACATCAGCATATATACGGTAGCTGGAAAAAAATCATATCTAAACGATGTCATATGGTAAGAAAACTAGATCTTAATTCACCAAGAAGTGATAATCCCATACCCGAACAAAACAAGAAGCAATATTGTTGCTTCAGCTTGCAAGGAACTATAGTCTATAGAGAAAACTATACGTATAGTATTCATTCAATTCAATATACAAACAAAACAAAAGACAAAAGACAAAAACAAAAAAAAACATTTCAACGTAAATATGCATATAGACAATAAACTTATGAGAATTAACAGGTGGGCCACGGAAATCTTAAGGAATAGAGATGGATTTTTTGTCCAAACAAAGCAAATCTAATGACTTATTACTTTTGGGTGGGACCTATAAGAAGATTTGATGTCTCACTTTCTCTTTTTTTTTGTTTTCTATATAAACACACTCGCACATTAATCTCCAAAGTCCTCTTCTCTTGTCGATCATTTGCTTTCAAGTCTTAAAACCTCTTATTCCTAAATGAGACAAAAGAGTCATAGAAAGGGAACAGTGTCTCCCTGTGCCGCATGTAAGCTTCTCCGACGAAAATGTGTGAAAGATTGCATCTTTGCTCCATATTTTCCGGCTAGAGAGCCTTACAAGTTTGCCATTGTCCACAAGATTTTTGGTGCTAGTAATGTCAATAAGATGTTGCAGGTGAAAATCCACTTCTCTCCTTGATTTTATTTTAACCACTTTTTGTTAATTTTGTTGTATTTATGCCCGGAATTAAATAAATATGATCTGAATAATAAACTTATAAACACTTAAAATGACCAAGGCTTGAAAATTTTGGTTTCTTCCTAGTTTTTTATGGTTTCTTCTTGCTGCAAGTGTGTCTTTTTTTAATATAAAAAATGCTGCAATTGTACCATTGTAAGAGTTTAAGCTCGGAGGAAACGGTTTTGGTAGTGTCACGGGAGAATTTACATTTTAGATTAGTCGGGATGATCATCCATGCTTAAGTCTTGAAAGTTAAACTATTCAAGTTGTTTAAATTAAAGTTAAACACTTGAAATAATTAGGGTTTTATTTGAATATATGTTTTCGATCTTGTCAGTGTGATATTTGCTTTCTGATAAGATTTGTTTTTGTTATATTTGGAAAGTATCGAAACCGCGTGAAAGAATAGTGTAGGAAGTCACTTTCTAGTTTCTATCAAAAGTCTATATTGCATGTCACGTTAAAAGGCAGAATCATGACATTATTACTTTTTATTTGTTATCTTATGAGTTATGACTAATACATGACGCAGTGAATAATTTATCTATGTCTAAAAGCGACTTCTTAATATGTTAATATCCTAATATCATTTACAAAATCATTACAACCAAGCAAACGCATCATCACCATAAAAATTTACTAGACATAGGTCATCAAAACAGTATACATCTCTTTACATGATAGAAGTATTGTTAATATAACTTTTTGTTAATATAACATTATTAATATCCTTTGTAAATCATTTTAACGATCGTAGGTGTTGTCCGAGAACCAACGGAGCGACGCCGTGAATGCGATGGTGTACGAGGCCAACGCGAGGGTGCAGGATCCTGTGTACGGATGTGTAGGGACAATTTCGTCGTTACACAGACAACTCGAGGCTCTCCAAACTCAGCTCGCTTTTGCTCAGGCCGAGTTGGTTCATGCAAGGACGCTCCGCCGTATTGACACTAAACATCTGCCTTACACGGCGAGCGCCGTTACTTTCCCAACGAACAAAGACTTCTCCAGTGACGTCAACATGGCTTTTGTGTATGAGGATGGTCCCGGAGAGTCCCTTTGGTCGTGCTAGCTCTAGCCCTCTATCCATTTTCTTCGTGCAATAGTTAAGATAAACATAAATGATAAGATATGTATTTAGTAAAATTCAATTAAAGTACTTGTCTTATATAGTAGCAACTAGAGGATTAAGATTGTAAGCTTTTAATTTTTGTCTGCCTTATTTTGTGCATCTTCATAAAATTAATGAGAATTAAGATTGGTTGTAGCGTATAAATTATTTGCAATTTATAGAAGAGCTTGATGCAAAGCCAATTTCTAGCAAAATGCATTTAGGACATACGCGAGATATTACAAGAGCAACAACAGACTTTCCAAATCGAGATATTTCATTTTTGTTTTTCAGGTGAAGAAGGAACAAAAACACATTTTCCATGTCACACTAGATGTCGCCGAGAAACACAAACTACAATGTTACTGATCCTATAACATTGGTCGAGATTCAAGATTTAGTCATTTAGGTATAATAAAGTTTAACGCATGTTCCTGTTGAGAAGACCTTGGAATGATAGGTAGAGGTCTTTGTTATCTTCCCCAAATATCTCATCAGCTTTCCTCAGAGTTTCCTGTCAAAAGCATCAACATTTTCTTACTCCGATATTTCAACATAACGAAAAAGATGGCACAAAACTACACAAGCTAAGCTACGGTTGTTTACCTCTCGGGTTTGCTTCTGTGCGTTGAGTTCCTTTATGTTAGCTAAAAAGGCACTGAACTGTTCATAGGATAATCGACTCCTGAGAATGATTGATGCAAAAAGAAAATCAACAATTTAAAACTGTGGTTAATGATATAAACCAACACTAAGTCAAGAACTGAAGAAAGGCCTCACCTGGCTTGTCTGAAAAATTCCTTACCATCCATCCTAGGTGTACGAGCTAAAACAAACACTATATCAATGAGAATCGTATACTTAATCAATTGATACAAGTAAACGCTCTTTAAGGATCCTATGAACCTGGGAGTGTGCGGTTGCGAGGTGGAGAATTAGCAGCTGATGATTGCTGGCTTGAAGGGTACCAGATTGTTGTCTTTGTGGGAGAAACTGCACCTGATGCTCTTTTAGGAGAACCATAGCCTCGAGGGGATACACTTGTGGAGATAATCTTCGGTGTTGCGGTTGGGGTAAGACGTGGAGAGAGATATGGTGTCATTGAGAATTTGTTTCCTGTGTATTTTGAAGCTGCAAAGGTAAAAAACTCAAATCTCGTTCTTTAGTTTCAGCATAGAGATAAAAAAAAAAAAAGCATAACGCTGGATAGTCGGTTCAGTGTTTACCTTCGACAATTGAATTAGTCCTTTCATCTGCATGATAGAAAGATATATAAGCTCATAGATAGGCCAAAACAAGAAAAATATTTAATTTGGGGAATTGGATATTGATGCAGTACCTTTGCCTGGATATGATCCATGAACTGACTGGTCGCATGTCCTTATATCAACAGGTTCTGTTTGCTGTGATGACAAATGGAGAAAATGCAAATTTACATTATCTTCAATCAGAGGCCAAAAAGCGTGCGAGATAGAGATAAAGAGCAAGAACATAGAAAACAACAAGAGAATGTGTAAATAACAAAGGCTTGAATGTCTTACCTGACCACTCTCGTCGCTCAGGGATTTGATTAACTGCCGCTTGAATGTCTCCAACTATAAATAGAAACATTAGCTCTTTTCTTTCCCCCAAACTATATACTATATGATGTGGAAACTCTCTGACAACACAGAATCAAAGATAAAAAGCATCAGAAAACCAACAAAAATTCTCACCTTAGCTAAATCACGGTTGAGTTTCGTTACTGCCATTGCTAGTGAATCCTTCTCCTTTGTCAGGTTCATCTTCATCAGAAAAGAACGACAGTTAATCAAAACGAAAACTAAGCCATGGTTAGTCTTGCAGAGCAGAGGCAACAAATTAGCATAGCACCGGAACATTTGATTCCTGAGCATATATGTTCACTCACTGATTTGGAGAAGAGCCTAAATCTCAACAAACAGACCTATCTACCACTTAAAGCTGAAATCTTCAGCTCTATACAACTCTCTCAACATCAATCAATGCACCAAATTCAATAACACACACAAAATTGTTCCCAGATATAGAAATAATCGAATAACCTTACTACACTGCAACAATAATGAAATTCTGAATCTATTTCAAATGGTGCAAAGACTCTCAAAACTAGCGCAATTTGAAATCTAAATTGCAGAAGTAGCGGAACCATAAAAGAGCAACAGAGGTCAGAGTGGGATAATGAAATGAAGAATTTACTCACATTGTCCTCGAGGACGATCTTCAGCCTCGAATCAGCCTCACGACAGTCTCTCTCCAAGCGAGAAGCCTTCTCCTCGAGCTCACGCACAACGCTTTCCTTATCCTGAAGGTTCCGTCTCAATTCTACCACCTCGGAGTCCAGATTCGTCACCCTTGAAGCTATCGCCATTGAAGTGATCTTCCTCGCGAGATCCAGCTGCTCAAAAGGGTCCATAGGAATCACCGACAGAACCTCTTCGGAAAGCTCGAAATCCAGCTGCTCGTCTCCCATTCCTCCTCCCCCAGAATTCCCTAACGTCGCCGTATCTCGTGACCTTCGACGCCGAAGAATTTCCCAAGGGATAACGTTTGAAATTGAAGCCCCAAATGCCGAAATGAAAACCCCGAGAAGATTAGGGTTTTTAGCTCTGGAATTGTCCGATTGCCTGTTGTTGCAGAAGGAATCAAAAAGAGAAAACCTTTACACTTGGCGTTTTTTCATTGGCTATGTATCTTTTCCTGTCTCTATTTTGAATTTTCCTTTAGTTCGAATTAGAAAACACTTTTGATTACTTTTCCCTCCAAACCAGAGAAAACTACTTTTGAATCATATTTGATGACTTTTCTATTTCGCGAGTTTTTTTAATATATGAAAAAAACATACTAACAAATATTGCAAATTTACAACAAAGACAAAATAATGTTAGTGCCGTTTTGGTCCTTACATTATCAAAATTACAAAATTGACAGATTGTGACGTGAACTTGCATTAAATCATTTGTTATTAAAATATTCCAAATTGGCCTACTGGATTTTTATAACATAAAAAATATAAAAGTCCTCAAACTTGTAATAGCAATAATAGACAGCATTTTTCTGGTTACAAGTTGAGATGTCACATCTATGTAGTTGAGCGAAATCACCAGACACGTGTACAAAATACATACTATAGATTTCATGTCTACGTATGTCCAATTTCCTTAAATGTACAACACCGGTTTTTCCCGGCTTGCATTAACTATTTATACAATTAAATAATTTACGCTGAACCTTGATGTATCGTGTCGTGTGGTGAAACTCACAATAATAAAGCCTAATCTTTTCCACTACGTTTGTATCGCCTGGCTCTGTCATACCATCCTAACCGTATTATGTACCAACTACCAACCGATGAGAGACCACTATCGGTTAATTCACCAGTATAACACAGTGAACCAAGGTCTCAATGTGGATATATAGTTTAACCGGTTTAAAGTTTGTTGGTTTTTAAGCTTATAGGAGATTAGAAACCAAATTTTAAATGGATCTAACGTCGATCGGTTTGGGATAGTTATGCTTATAAGCCCTACCAAAGCGAACCAAAAATAAAATAAAAACATTTCCCGGTCTAAAATGGTTTACATACCAGCTATCGTGTTGGTCTTCAAGGCAATTAGACATTTATTGCGTTGTCTGGACCAGAGTGGTATATTGGAGTGGAGTATGTCTGTGTACGCACGCATATACAATTATACACACACACACTTGTATTATATATATACACACATCTCGATGCCAAGGAAAAAAACACCATCGTCTTGGTTTTCCTTTGTTACTAGAAAGACACCCAACAAAAAAAGGATGTATTGTCTTCAAGTTGCAGTTTATCACTTGTTCTTCAACGCAGCTCGGTTGTCTTATCTTCTTGCTCTCATCATTTTTGTCTTTCTTAGATTATTTGCTATATATCAGAATATTTCAGTTGTGAACCACCACGGCGAACCAAGAACGGCGTGGTTTTTGAAGATTACTGATACACCGCAAACTCAGGGAGACTTGAATGCAACTTTTTCTGGTGATTTATTAAAATCTGTAATGTTTTGCAGTTAATTGTGTGTTGTTTGTGAACAAGTTTCATTATATCTATAACTAGGATGTTACAAAACACCACTCCAGTGTCATCGCTATTACAAGTTTCTATAATTTTCTTTGATCATTTCTCATGAGAAAGAGTTTACTCGATTAGACCGGAGCGGTAGTCTATTCATATGTGTGTTACTAACAGGACAAAATAAATTTTTAATTTGGTTTGGTTTTGTGGCTATCCATTTTAATTTGTCTATCGCTGTCAAATACAAAAAGTAATGCTAGCTAATCAAAGAAGACTTGACAAGGTCTGAGCAGGCTCGATCGATCCTATATATGTAGACCGGTTTACGAAATGAGGTAATTGTTTTATCGTATTCTCAAAGAGAAGTAGCCGCAAAATTCGATCAACCAATAATGTCCGAATCAGGAGCTTAATTATAGGGTACTCGCATTTGTATTTAAGCAACTTAGTACAGTTGTTTGTTTTTCGTTGGCGACATTTATAATTTATAGTTATTTTAAACGCAATTATATTTTAGCTGACTAATCGTATGAAATGTATTTTCAGTTAGTTTAGTTAGTTCATTTATACAAATGAACACCGAAGCTAGAGCCTGGTATAATATATACTGGGCCTTGTTTGTTGTAAAGGCCCAAACTGAATCCCAATTATTTTCAGACCAAAACTGACAGGCCTCACGTATTTATCGTTTTAAGTTTGTTTCTTTTCGTTTTCTTTACGACAGATTTAAGATACTGTATTAGATAATGTTGTGTACTTAATACGAGGATGGCTCCGTACTGAGGTAAGAGAAAAGAAGGACAGGCAACGAGTTGGTGGGTCACACTCTGTAATGAATGACCGTACAACCAAACCCACCTGCCAATCTTTAATTCCTTTAATGACACGTCTTTTAAAATTAAAGACTGAATTCTTTTTTAAAAACTTGTCTTTTCTCCATTTCCCTTTCTTCAATTGGACCCATCCATTTTCAACTACAAAAACAAAAAATGGTCGATTATTTTTTGTGTGTATGTATATGGGAAAATTTTGGATATAATTGAAAAGTCGTAATGTAAAATATCTAGTTAATAAAATCATCAAATATGTCATTTTGGTTTTTCCAGCAAACATGCCGTTTATTAAACAACAAATTTATCCAAATCCAAAACGCAAAGGGACAAGAGTGTCGTGAACAACTTCTCCAGTGACTCCAAATTTGGTCGATGTTTTGTTTATGCCTCTCTGTCTGTTGTAATTGTAAGTATTTGAGTTTTATTTTCTAAGAAGAAGTTGCATGTTTGAGGCATGCTAATAACGTTTGGCAGACAAGAATTAGTATTGTAAGCATACATTTAAACGTACATACATATTTGAAATGTTGAGGAAACTGTGAGTTTTGTTTCGTGTGTCAAAAGAAAAGCTGTAATCTTTTTCGGGAATATAAAATATAAATGAAATACGTTTAATAGGAAAAAATATCAAAAGACAGCAAGAAATAAAATAATAATATTGACAAAAACGAAGGCTAGATTTTCTCCATCCAAATATCTCTTTGACTTATCGGTCTCTGTGAAAGCCTAAAGAATGTTGAACTTAAAGCTATCCGCGGAGATTTCATCCAACCATCTTTATTTTATTGACCAATTTACTTAAAAACAAAAAAAAAAACTCAAAATTATAATATTTTTTATTTATTTATTGAAGTTTACTAAACCACCAACCTCATACTGAGGTTTTCAAAACATTTCTTGTTTCTTTCATCTTTGACTATGCTGATGCAAGAACAACTTGTTAATCATACTCGATTTTAGTTTTACACAAAATCACGGACTATTTCGTTTGGTTGGTCTAAACGTCACTAGCTCAAATATATAATATTATAGATATATTAATACATAATATGAAAAACAAAATTCTCAATTAAAAGAGACTTACCATCGAAAACGTTTATTGGCCGTTGATATTAAAATAGCCAAACCATAACGCGAATTTGTACCATCGGTGAAAGATCGCTACTGTGCTGCTTTAGAAATTAGAATTAAGTTGATTTTGTATGGTTTTATTGTTTCTATCGTTTTTAATTTAGACGATTTGGCTTGTACATAAAGATAATAAACAAATAAATAAATAACTGTAGTAACATATAATCTTTTGGATAACTACCAAAACAGTCTAGATTTGTATTAAAATTCATAAATTGTTTAATTAAATAATGTATTTAAAATGTAAATTCATCTTATTTATAATTAAGTATTTTTATATCCTCTCACCCAATTTGCCGTCCATTTGTTAATCGACGGTTACTTTTTTTTTTGTCTGGATCCTGTAATTGTATAAAGATTTAAATGATAAAGAAATGAGCTTAATTTTTAAAATTTATTTTGTGGAAGTTAAATTTTCTCGGTTGTACCTGGCAAGTACCGCCTATGTACTCTCTCCTCTGTCCTCTCTATGCTCTCGTCATCATCTTTCCATGTCTTCTCTCTCTGTATATAATATCTCATTCCTCACTCTCTCCATCTCATTTTCAAAACTTTATTCTTCCTAAAACCGCCGGAGAAACCAAAAATGAAGCATCTCATCCGCCGCCTCGCTCGCGTCGCCGACTCCTCCTCCGAATTCTCCATCCGCCGATCTTCTTCCTCCTTCCGCATCCGCCGCGGCCACCATCGTCACCACGCTCCGCCGCCGTGGTCGATTTGTCCGGCGAGACGAGTCAACACCGTCCCCGCCGGTCACGTGCCTGTCTACGTCGGCGAGGAGATGGAGAAGTTCGTGGTGAGCGCTGAGCTCATGAACCATCCGATCTTCGTCGGACTGCTCAACCGGTCCGCTCAGGAATACGGTTACGCTCAGAAAGGAGTCCTCCATATCCCCTGCCACGTCATCGTGTTCGAGCGCGTGGTGGAAACGCTCCGATTAGGAGGAACCCACGACTCCGGCGAGCTACAGAACCTCCTCGCGTCGTTGCTCTCCGCCGATGAGTTAGTACCTGGAACTACAGAGTAGCTTTGAATAATAAAAAATAAACCAATCGGCGATCGTTAGATAATTTTTCTGATTTTTCAATTTCCGTCTTCGATATTATCGGTTTTTGTAAATATATACCAGTCTCTTTTTTTCTGTTTCTTAGATTATCAATTGTTGTCAGTCTTTTGTTTTTGCTGATCGAGAAACATAGATCAAATCGCCTCGAGACTGGATGAAATTGATATCCGACGACACTCTGTAACTGAAACGCCTCTGGTTTTTGGTCGCCAGTAAAAGTTAGTATAAAAAAATTAAAAAGAGAAAACAAAAGAAACGTGCGTCCCATACGTTTCATGTACCGTTTGGTTTAACAATCAAACTAACTCATTTTCGAAATTGCACGTTTTGGTTATATAAAGTATGACTGTATAAACCTTTATCAAGAAACGTACGAGTTGGTACATTTCGGTTGTTGTTTTTGAAAAAAAGACGACAAATTTCTAAGTTTTATTTTCAGCCGTGATTCCGCTTTGTGATTTGGTCCAGTAATTATGCTTTCAGATCTTTTTTGTTGTTTTTGAAATCTGTTTGTCCTAAAATTAACAAGACGATCATCGGGAACTAGCAAATTTACTGTTTATCACAGTTTTATCTCCTACTTTGTGTGCTTAAATTTCAGCTGAATTTTTTTGTTTTGCAAAAAATTATATTTCGGTTGATTTGTTTTGTAAGTTCGCTACTGATAAAGTTGTATAAAGGATATATTCTGCATCCACCCAAAATATGATGAAGATGATGATATTCGGAGAACTATTGACGACCGGAAGAGGACAAAATGGTAGTTTATGGACAAGCACCGGGTTGATTTGGTCATTTAACTATGAGTATGAATTTGTGTGCACCGTACGGATCCATCAGATAAAGTACCGATCGTTGCAATAAAACGTCCAAATATTCGCTGAAATTAAATGATAAATACAGAAAGATCCATAAAGAATGATTTTATTTATTTATGTTATTGCACATGTCGACATGCACTTTATTTTTGGCACACACTTTTTATTGTTTACGTTTTATCTCTATTTTATTTTATTAAGTACTCTTCATGTGTCAAAATATTAAGAATTTGTTATTAGAGTTAATTTTTCAAATCATGAACTCTTTTAAGATTGTAAAATGTAAATGCTTTCGATGCACTTTCATTTGTTTAATTTCAGATGATTAGCATTAAATTTAGATTGAAATTATGGCTGTAAAACGACCAACAATAAATTATCGGTAAGATGTTACCAGCTGCATTTAAATCAATAGTAACAGGTAGAGACAACGTATTTTGTTTTTAGGTAAAAGTCTCAACTCATTTATAGGTTTGCATATTGTTTCCCCCTTCTATATAACCAAGACTTTTGGCTATTTGACACCGAAAGTTCTAAATTAATTATGTAAATGTCACTACATTTGAGTGGATAGTCCACTGATACCATAACAAATTTATACTCTCTCCGTTTCAAATTAGTTGTCGTTTTGGCAAAATGTATCTGCAAATATTTGGACGTATCTGCAATGCAAAACACGTCCAAATACGTTCAAATATTTTCAGATACATTTTGCCAAAACGACAACTAATTTGAAACGGAGGGAGTACATCTTAATAAATCATTGTCAAACAAAATTGGGAAAAAATTCAGAGAATATCTCAAAATAATTTTCCCACCACACATTGCAAATTTTTGATAAATAAACGAAAATAATACTTTCTCTTAATGTAACGACGATAGTGTAGCGGTTGATTTGATTGTGTATCTAAGCAGTCCATTAGGGAACATCCGACAAAAAGAGAATAACTACATAAATGTTTTTGGTACTTATATAATTTTCAGAGTTAAAATTGGTTACTATCGGTAATTATACTCATATTATGAAAATAAAATATTGATGCCGTAAGAAACCCCACTTAGAATAACTACACTTATAGATTGCATCGTCCTGTCAATGCATATGAAAGGATCGGAATTGTACGGTTTTTTGGGATTATTTGCCGGAATATTATCAAAGTGAGATCTACAATTAGTTTAAGTAATTATAAATCAGTACGATTTAGTGATGTGGCGATAAACAATTGGATACAAGGTTGATTTGGCAAATCTGTGGCACATGTGTGATATATTCCAGACCCTTTAACAAAAAATGTGTGATATATTTCGTACGATGTTTGGGAAACTTAATAAGTAACAGCTAACATGTTGGCATGAAGGAAAATATACTGTATAATAATCAAAGCATGAGTTGCAGTTGCAGCTGGCAATCTTATATCCATATACCAACTTTTGTTTTGAATATATGTCCACAATACACAATAAAAGAATAAGAGCATATTTACCATATGAATATAAGGCTGTAACTAACTACTCGCTTTTCTCCTATAATCGCAGCGAATCTAATTCTCACAACAGAGGAGGTCATAAAATTGAAACCATTTGACAAATTCAAGAGAGACAAAATTACAGGTATAGAGATTTTTCTCAGTAGAGAGCACATAAAATTTACAACGGGTTGGGCTTGGGCTACTTATGGGTAATGTTAAATTTAATGGGCCTTAATTACTCTGTTAGTTAACTTTTGAGAAATTGAAAACAGTAACATCATTTCTCATACAACTTCTGGGGCTCAGACCTTAATGATTTCACACACCATTGAATTTTCAGCTGATTATTCGATGCCCTTGTCTAAATAAACTGAAGACTCGAGGCAGACAATTGAATAGTTTTGTAAATGAAATGAATGCTCGCTGACTATATGTTCCGTTGATAATTCCTTAGGTGTTTATTTGGTTCTTTTTGGTTCTCTTTACTTTTTGGATCGACGTTCTGGTTTACAAGTATTTTTTTATATTTTTTTGTTCTGTAAGACTTTGCACGTTATAATTAAATATACCAATCGGCAAGTTTTTTTTGACCAAATAGAGAAAGATACAGGTCTTTAGATTAATTGCAATTTTCTGTCTCTGAATTAATAGTGATCAATGACGGGTGATATAATGGCGTGGAATGTTGTTTCCAGTCAATTTTTCTGTTCCTCTCGGGGTTACATTTGAAGCAAGATACTATAAGTACAAATGCAAATGAATGAAGATGCTGACTCGCGGATTTAAGACTTTTCCTAAAGGCTTGCACAAAAACACTCAACAACAATATTGTAAGAGCATTAGCATTAGTTTGTAGAAGTACACAAGTCAATATTAAATGAAACTGATTTTGTTTCCATTAGCAAATTAGCATGACTTTCTCTTCTCCTTTTCTTGTTTTCCCTAATTAGCAAAAAAGCAACAATTTGTATAATCCAATCCATATTGTTTTAAATTTAATCCATGAAAGTTATTTGATAATCTAATGGCTAATTCTTTTGCCAATGAAGACAAATGAACGAAACTTTGTGCTAAATTTTGTTTTCATCTATATCTTAGATCTGAATGATCAAATCACGTATGATAAAATTTGCTTACACCATCAAGTTTCGTGTTATTCATATAAAATATATTGAGTTCGTGCATATTTTATCAGTTCATCTATATATTTGGATATGAATTATCAAGCTAGCTTTTTTTTATGTTTATGATATTTAAAATCTTGTAGATGTGTTATTTTTCAAACTATATTGACTTAGACCAGCAATTGCAACAGTTGACTCATAAGTCATACATAACTCATAAATACACTAGAGTTGTTAATAATTTGACAAAGACAAATACCAACAAAAGCGTATAGCATAGCTGACCGTTCTCCCATATATTTAATCACTCGGGTCGATCGGGTCCTACTACTCCTACCCAAAACATGAAAACATCGTATACTTCTTCAGTTCTCTAAATTAGCACTGTGCAGAAATAAAAATAAACTAGGTGTTTATATAATTTCTTACAGTATCGTATTTTATGATTTTATCTATAAATGTTGTTTATAAGAAAAAACTATATTATATCTTTACTTATTTTGTATATCTAAAACAACATATATTCATTTGTTTACATACTAAATTGTATCAAAATTATATCATATTTTCACATACATATAAACGACTCTTGTTACAAATAAAAACGGATTGAAAGTAAGTGTAGCTATATATGTATGTGCGTGCATGAACAGGCATCGTTGGACGTTGGCCTATGCAAGTGAAGTTAGGTCAGCGAAACTTAAATGACTCGTTATTTCACTTAAATTCCCATTTATTCGTCGGTTTTACGTACGTATTAACAAAAACACAGTTACAGTAAATGCGTCATACTCCACTTAACTCCATTGGAGACAAGAATACACTTAAGAGTTAACATACTTTATTCATTAATGATAGTATAACATATCTTGAGGCATTCTTTAATTTATTACAGTATTTATCCAGCACCAACAAACGTATTTTGAGAGTTTTTTTACTTTTTAGTATCCGCTTGCAATGAATTTAAAGAAGTTATCCCGATTGTTTAAGGCTAGTTTAAGCGTCTACTAGAAATATAATTTGTAGGGGTACTACAGTTCTTAAAAGAAATTTATAATCCCGATTGTTCAAGGCTAGGAGTAATATATTTCCCTAATATCTTCAACTAACTTCGAACTAACTAACCCATGGCTTTAGGTTATTTCCTTTGACAAAACAAAACATTGGGTTATTTAAGCTGCAGAATGATCAGGAGCACAGGTGAATAAAATAAATTGACCAGATAATAGTATAAGATTAACAACTTTTTAACCGCATAGAGAGTGTCTTTCAAATAAAAAAAATTCAACTTGCTTATCAGAAAATCACTAGAAAATTTTCAAAAACACCCACCCATCTCTTCCTTTAAGCAGTTTGTTGTTTTGGTGACAACCATTCGAATATCTATTTCTTTCCAATCAAACCCCAGACTTAACTATCATTTACATAAATGGAACTCTGCCTACAAATGAAAATATTAATTATATCCCCAGAGCTTTCAAATCGATATGTTGAGATCAATCTTAGGCTTCTTCATATCAGGCAAATGAACAAACGAATGACACCTCGGACATTTCGGATTGTTGTTCATCACCAACACGTACGATAAGCAGCCCGGACATCCAACCGCCACCGGAGACGCGGTTCGATCCCAAACGCCGTCGTCTGGCGATTGGCGTTTCTTTGTCATCCCGGACGAATTTATCTCCACTCTCTCCAGCGCCGATTTCACCTTGTCGAGCGTGCAAACACTCTGGAAACTCGAATTCGCCGATGGTACAGCGAGAGGAGACTGATAGGAGAGCGACGGATTTGAAATGGAAGAAGACGGAGGAGCGAGAGGACGAGAGAGAGAAGAAGGGACTAGCTTCAGTTCTAGGCTTGTGTCATCGAAGAGGCTTAATAACGGCTTCACCGGAGGTTTACCGGAAATCGGCGGAAAATTTAGGTCCTGAAATCTCGGAGCTGTTTGTTTGGACTGATCTGCGTGATGATGAGTCGATGACGACGAGCTTGTTGGATTGCATTGTTGCAGATAAACTTTTCCCGACTGTTTCAAAAATCACAAAATGATCAAACCCAAAATCGGTTAGCCATTGAACCGAATTCAGTCTCGCACTAATTACAGAGAAAAAAAAATCCGGTTATCATATTTATTTCCGAAACGTCTCTGTTTCTTCGTTTCTAAAATTTTTGGAGAGAAAAATCGGAGAAAAGAGCAAACGAACCTTCAAGTCGAGACGCTTTTCCCATCCGTTGGGGACGTGGAGGTCAAGGTCAAGCTCCAGCGACTGATCGCCTCTTCCTCCTCCTCCTCCGCAACCGCTACTTCCGAGGAGATCGCGAGTCCTGAGCGCCACCGTCGATCTCGGTCCGGCGGAATCCTTAACCGCCGTCCGATCGTCATTGTACCGTATCCGTACGAGAGAGCTGACGTCGGCAGTCATACCAGAAAGCAGAGAGAGAGAGAGAGAGAGAAAAGAGAGGAGAGATCAGTTATGGGGTCTGTTAAGGCAGAGGGATATTATATAGATGGGGCCAAAAATCTAAGAGGAAGTGTCGCATCTCAAGTTAACGAGGCCGGTTATAGCAATTTTAATTTAAAGCCAATGAATTTCTTTCTTTTATTACAAAATAATTATGATTAGTAAGTTACAGTTTTATTTGCATGAATATTTATTTAATGTTGGACCGTTTTCCCACCTTGAAATAATTAATCTCTTATGTGTCATTTTGCGAACTACTACATCTTCATAATTATCGAGTTGAATAAAACTGCAATCTGAAAATTTCTTTCTTTTATTACAAAATAATTATGATTAGTAAGTTACAGTTTTATTTGCATGAATATTTATTTAATGTTGGACCGTTTTCCCACCTTGAAATAATTAATCTCTTATGTGTCATTTTGCGAACTACTACATCTTCATAATTATCGAGTTGAATAAAACTGCAATCTGTAAAATTAATCTACTGATGAAAAATCACAATCATAGCATCATTTCACTTTCTTTTTTGTTCGTTCTGCATCGAGAAATTGGAGATTGAACCCATGCCTAAAGTGGGCAAGCTAGGTGTAAAAAACATTAGCCCATAATGCTCTCTTGGCAAAAAAATACAGCTTCTTATGGTAGGCTGGTAGCAAAGGAGAGCTTTTTTGGCCAAGTGTGTAGACTTTTTTATTAAAATAGAGTTCACAATTTACTCCTAACGATCAAAAGGCCAAGAAAAGGGTGTGCAGGGAGGAATTCAAGGAGGAGCAGACACAAAAGTGTAATAAATGCGAAGAAAAACGCATTAAGTGCGTTGAAACTCCAAGTAGATTCACCTTCTCTCCTCTACATTACATATTTACCCCTTCCTAATCTTCTCTTCTTCAAGTTATTATAATCATACTTCTCAAACCCTAAATTCTAAGTACTACGTTCATATACAATTAATTACGCATTGATGAGCTCGTTATTTAATGCAGTTTCTTCTTCTTCTTTTTTTGTATTGGGCACGTCAAAGGTATTTAATGAAGTAGGTATTAGTACGAATGTAAATGGGGTTTTGTGCAAAACAACCCTCAAACTAAATTCATTTTGCAAATCAAACCCTCAATTTAAAGTTGTGCAAATCAAACCTCTGAAGTCAAAATAACCCCGCAATATAAGACATCTCTATATTTGTGACAAAATTTAAAATGATTTTATGCAAAACAACTCGCGAACTATTTTTTGTGTGCAAATCTAACCTTCAACTTAAAAAATATGCAAGTCAAACCTGCAAAGTCGAAAGTCACTGCTAAAATGAACTTATATGTATTTGTCCATAACTACAAACGTTGACTCAAAACGTCATGACATTTATAATATTTTAACAATTTTTATTAAAAATACTTAAAACAATAATTCAATATTTCTTCTCTTTTTTCTCCATCAATAAGGAGAGGGTTAGGATTTTTAACCAAATCCAAAAAAACTAAACCGTAGCCAATCCAGAAAATCAAAACCGAACCAACTTACTCACAATATAGTTACTTGGAAGATCTGAAGTCCTATGTCTTTATGAGCCTCTCTCGAATAATTCTATTGCAAGTAAATTAGTTCTTATCTTTGTCTCTTCGTCGTCATTAGTTAATGAGATCATGAAGAAAAGAATCAACTTATTCGCGATAAGATTACTCGAGATAAATTTATTAATAAGAGAGAAAGAGAAAGAAAAAAAAAAAATTAAAGATTAAAGTTTTTTGTTTTTGTTTTTTTTTTAATTTACTTTTAATAAAAATGGTTAAAATATTATTAATGTCATGACGTTTTGAGTCAACGTTTGTAGTTAAGGACAAATACATATAAGTCCATTTTAGCAGTGACTTTCGATTTTGCAGGTTTGACTTGCATATTTTTAAGTTGAGGGTTAGATTTGCACATAAAAAATAGTTTGCGGGTTGTTTTGCATAAAATCATTTTAAATTTGTCACAAATATAGAGATGTCTTATATTGCGGGGTTATTTTGACTTCAGATGTTTGATTTGCACAACTTTAAATTGAGGGTTTGATTTGCAAAATGAATTTAGTTTGAGGGTTGTTTTGCACAAAACCCATGTAAATGTGTCAATGTGGTATTTAGAGCAAGCCAGCATTAGTAGTAATACACCAATCTATAGACTGGACAGTCTACTGTATACAATTTTTGGAGTTCTATACACAAAAGTCTTAGAGTTTACAACATCTCATCAGTCATCACATATTTAAAAAAAAAAAAATGAAAAAGGTTGAAAACTTGAGAAGCGAAGAGGGTATATTTCCCGATGTTTCAGAATCTTATTATACCAAAGGTATACATGCTATAGTTTTTAGATATTCAGAATACAAAACTATACTCCTGAATATACTAGGTACTTTTTCTTAAATCTGTTGGTAAGCGAGCCCACTTATGACGAGGCTTATCGTTGGAGGGTGTGGCAACGAACTTTTTCGTTCAGCCATAATCCAACTAATCGACTTGTCGAACATGTTTGTAACCAATTTTTAAAATGTTTGTGGTCTTAGCTAAAATCTACTACTAATATAAAAGGAAACAGAAAGAACAAGTAGTATTTGATCAAGCAACAAAAGGAGATGTAGCATTGCAAAAAGCAGATGGTCGGACAATTAATTAAATGGAGTTTCTAGGAAAAAGGGAAGGTGTAAGCATTTACGAGCTTTAAATTCTAACGTTGAAAACGTTACAAATTAAATAAATGTTTTTTCGTTAAGTAAAAGGTGAGGAAGTGATGATGCTCACGGACGATACTCTCACGACACAAGCACAATTAAAAGCTAGTAGTACTCCGTATTTGATTTTCAACATACACACACATGCACATATACACCCTTTTTTTGGTAAATACCTTTTTTTCTATATTATTTTGTTGAAGTTATTTTATGAGTAAATTCTTCTACTAAATTCTCTTAGGGGTATAATTCTTATATTTAGTGCTTAGTTCTTTAATGATTTTTGAATATTGATATTTAGCTTTTATAGGTATCAGATGCTTTAAAGCTCTTGCCTTTTTTTCCTAGCTGAAAATAAGTACTCTATGTGGGATACAAATTTGGGAGTTCTCCTAACTAGACGGCTAGCCCTAAATGTATTCAAGGAGACCCATAATATTTATAGGAATTTAATTGGACACATATTTATTAATAGCGCGACTGGTCTTGGGATTTGAATGCATTTAAATGCGAGATCGGTAAGGGTTATTAAATACGAAAACTGAATGGTAGTACCCTTTTTGTTATGATACTTGTTAAAAAATGCAAAGGAGGTTGAAAGGAGTATTTGTAAAAGCAGACTTTAATTGTTAAAAAATGCATCTGAAAACCTTAAATTCCGAGGCCATAAAGAAGTTGCAGCAGTCTGAAATCGGATTCTACACCACCAACCAACTTTTCAATATTTATTTTTGGTTTATTTTCTTGCAACAAAATGTTCCTTCACCAAATTGTTGTTGACCTTTTAATATGCATTTAAATCTAGTATATTTAAGTTTGGTTGACCATATTTTACCATCGAGGACTTGGTCAGTCTTGGTCTTGGATTCTATTTCCTTAGTAGGGTTGGGCTTAGATGAGAAAGGCCCGTGTAGCATATCTTAAACCCAGCTTAACCATAAGCTATCCAGTTCCACATAGATAGAAGCCAAAATTATGTCAAAACCATAATATTTATAGGCCAATGGTCGTTTTTTTTCTTTTTGTTTACATCAGCAAATCCTTTTTATTCCATGTTGCAAATATTATAATATAAAATTATATAAACGACTAATAACATTATATATTTCAAGTGTTTGGTATGATATTATATATATACATGCAAGTTTTACAAAATTCGATTATAAGATTAATAAATACTTCGTAAATAACGGTGCGGCATTCACATGTAATGTGATCGTCTATTTTAAAATTTCTCAGTATACAACTTATTTTGTTTATATTCATGCATTGTTTTGGATTGTAAATTTATAAGTCATGTGTGTGGACCTTATGAGTGATTAGTTAGGTAGTCATGACTCGTGAATAAGTCATCACTATATTAAGCAAATCTTCTACCAACCAACTCATATACGTTTATAAGTTTTTATTTATTTATATATCTTCAAGATTAGGTACCCTATATTGGGGTTACTTTATAATTGTTCCATCATTGTTTTCAATTAATAGAACAAAACGTCATGTGATGATGAATCCTTTTATCAAAGAGAAAAATAAAAACGTCATGTGATGATTAGGTAACTTTACTTTAACAAACTATAGTTTTGTTCAATCACATGCATAATTATCTAATAAAGATATGACTCAGCTATCCAATTCTAAACTCATACTTTCTTAAGAGACTTTGAGTTAATCACTTGTGAAGTGTAATGTATTATTTTTCTGTTTCTTAAAGTAATGTATTGTATAATGTATTATGTATATTTTGTTGAGACGTAAGTTGTCATTTATAAACTCAGAAACTCCAAAACATGTAAATACACATCCAATATAATCAACTATATTTTTGTTTGGATCCTACATGTGGTATTTTCAGGGCCGTCCCTGACCTAAAGCCAGTAAAGCAGGTGTTTTAGGCGCTACGAGATCATATATAATTTGGGGCGCCAAATTACAGAGAGTATGTGGTAGTGTAGTGGTTATGACTCTCCATTATGACTATCAGGGATTGTCTTCGAAGTTCGGTACCCACACTTTTCTTGCTTTTTAAAAAATACCGATTTTTAGTGGGCTCAAAAAACAAATTTAGCTTTAGGCGCCAAAACAGTATGGGCCGACCCTGGGTATTTTATTTTTAAATTATAAAATCGCGACGTACTAAGTTATATCAAACAATGCGTGCATGCATTCTTTGCTTATACATAAATTAGTCATATACTATCATTTATAATTTAAATAGTTTATAGTTGGTTTCGGATGTGAACACACATGCATACACTGATACACATAACTTGTTGTCTTAGACAATTCTTAAAAACAAAGGATCGTAAATATGATTTTGACGTTGAATGATGGGGACAAATTCTTTAACCAAAAAAAGAAAAATGATTGATACCGATTATTATATGAACAGTATTAGTGATGCATTTCCGAAATTTTTATTGGACATAATTAAGATTCAAGAGTAAATATAAAACAAATTTGTTTGGTAAACAAGATCTTGTTTAACTGCTACCAAAGTATGATACATTAGTGTCTCACCACTAAATATACTCTATTTTTTTATATAGTATATACTTCCTCATGTCACTGATTTTATGTTGTAGTAGAAATTCTTGTTTTTACTACAACAATTCTTAAAACCAATTTCTTGTTTTTGTACATGCGTTCAAATTCCTTTTCACTAGCGGTAAAAAATTTAAGAGCGAGGGTGAAAAATCTTTCACACCTTAACAAACCAAAATTGTACTGCGATTCATTGTACTTGTGGTATTTTAGTTCTTAAGAAAATTGGCGGCCGAACCAAATCGTAGACTAAAATAAAGAGGCGTGCCAATAACAACACGTGTGCTTCTGTCATGCGAATTCCTATCTTTGTCTATTCAAGATTTTTTGTTTTTCCCGTCGTCGATTGGGACATTTCAACTCTCTTCCATTTTTTTTCAACTTAGTTTACTAAAGTTTCTTTTTCAGTGGAACCTAATTCGTTCAACTTAAAATAGAATTTCATAAGTTGTTCACCTAACAAAAGAAACCTGTGATGTAACTTTATTAGAGATGTCTCTATGCTATTTTCCAACAAACATTTCTAACTTCATCACAAGAGACAACTTCTTATGTTACACTAATCCATTAATTTTAGTTTATTCAATATTTATATTTTGTTTGACTTCAAAGATTTTTTCTCTCTCGTAAATAACACATGGAAACAAACGTGTTGTTGTTTCTGTTGATTTTTTACTTTATTTATTTATTTATAAGTATAACTGTGTCAAATTCTAGAATACTCTTATAAGTTATAACTAAGGATGAGCTTGGTCATATTTTGTTTGGTATCGGCTCAAATAAAGAGAAATCATTGGGAGATGAAAACAATCCACGTTCAAGCAAGCGATCGATTCGGATATTTTACGTGGACTTACGAACAATAAACTAACTTACAGCGAACTAGCGGTTAATTTTTTTTATTTGGAGTCGCAATACTAAAGTCTGAGTTTTTTACTTTGATTATAATGATGAGATGGCAGTCTAAAGGTGAGCATCCTTACGTCTTGTTTGGTAGATTAACTTGAAAGTTTAACGAAAAAACAATTATAAGTCAAGTTTTGTTTTATGAATTTTCCGTTTATCAAATTTATTTTTTCTAACACCGTTTTCAAAAGTTGGTATAGCCTTAGATAGAAAAATTATTATCACCCTTTATGATTTGACTTAGATAGACTTGATGACGCGTATTATTGTAGTCAAATCTGAAAGTTTTACAAATAAGCTAATATTAACCAACTAGTTAGGCAAGTTTGCAGCTGTACACAGTTGTCAGATTTTTATTGCAAAACAATAATTACCATAGGGAATATTCTTAGAGATGTGTCAGAGGCATTCCTTATGTGTCTCAGATTGGATAGAAAATGTTAAATGTGTGACTCAACATTTAAGTTTCAAATTTATGTTAGTATAATGCATACTTGACTATATCTGCAAAATAGTTCATATATATTTTGTTTCCATGTATAACTTGAAAAAATGGAATCATATGCCAGATATTCACCACCAATATAGAAACGTTATTAACTCCAAACAAATCTGATTTGACAATAGTTATTGCCGTTTGTGTATAATATGTTTCTCATCAATGTCAGGACCACACACCACTTCCCATGTATAAATACACATAGGACCAATTAGATTTGCTAAAAGGGAATCTCAAAAGTGTGTGAGAGAAAAGATACGAGAGAGAGAGAGAGAATGGGCAAAGGAAGAGCACCATGTTGTGAGACAACCAAAGTGAAGAGAGGGCCATGGAGCGAAGAGGAAGACTTGAAACTCGTCTCTTTCATCCACAAGTATGGTCATGAGAATTGGAGATCTCTCCCAACACAAGCCGGTAATGTTCTGTCTTTCTGATTCTAAAGATGGCTTTCTTAAACTTCTGGTTCTGATTCTGTGAATCTGTCTTTCTTAAGGATTGCTGAGGTGTGGAAAGAGTTGCCGTCTTCGATGGCTTAATTACCTCAGACCTGATATTAAACGTGGCAACTTCACCCCAGAGGAAGAAGCAACCATCTATAGACTTCACCAGAGCCTTGGAAACAAGTCTGTGTTATCTTCTTGTTATTGCCTTTGTGTGTGTGTCAAGTTTCGATTCTGACAATAGTTTTTCTTGCATTTTGGATTCAGGTGGTCGAAGATTGCTGCTAAACTGCCTGGAAGAACAGACAATGAGATCAAGAATGTGTGGCACACAAATCTCAAGAAAAGACTGAGGTCGAGCACTGGCCTTAATGCTGGTGAAGAGGCTTCTCCAAAAGGTTCTTTGAATGAAGTAGAGACCTCTCCAGAGCCATCTCCGAATGTCTCTATCTCTCTTGTTGGTTCCAACAACTCAAGCAAAGAAGATGATGTGCAGAAAGATCAAGCGTTTGAGTTTACTGAAGATTACAGCGAATGTATGGGAATGTTACAAGAGGTTGACAAACCAGAGCTGCTGGAGATACCTTTTCATTTAGATCCTGAGGTTTGGAGTTTCATGGATGATTTAGACCAATTCCAACAGCCTGAGAACAGTTTGACTTCAGGGGATCCTCAAGAGTCTGAAGAAGATGAGGTTGGGAAATGGTTTAACCACCTGGAAATCGAGCTCGGGTTAGAAGAAAACGACAACCAAGAGCAAGAGCAGAAACAGGGAACAAGAGACGAGGAAGAACCATCTCCACCATCGCTCATGGAGAGTTTCGAGTTCCTACTAGATCCATGAAGCCATAAGCAACTGATTTTCAATTTTAATAGCGTAATCATTATCCTCATTAATGATCTAGAGTAGAGCTTAATTGTATGACAAGATTGGGTAGGTGCAAGTAGTAGCGATAGCGAAGAAACGTAGAAATGTAACAACATGTATCAGAGCGTTAAGATTGCGTTGTAGTGAAACAAAATTGCGACAAGGAAACAACCATCAGCAAATAATAATCCTCATTATAGGGAACAACCATCCAGAAACAGAAACAGACAAGAGCTGATAGAGATTGAGAACGAGTAACGGTTGTTTTTGAATCGAAATTGTTACAGCAGCGAAGATTTCTAGATTCCTTTTCCAAAATAGTTTGAGATATTACTCTAAATTGTGTGTCTATCATATCTCAAGCCAAGAAAGCAAAACAAAACTTGAAGAAGAGAGAAGAGTCAAACAAAGCAAAGCAAAACAAAACAAATGCTCTCAATCACCCCCTCAGCTTGGTTCCTGAAGGCTTGGACATCCTTGACGACCTTATACATACACTTCTTCAGAAGCGGTAAGTACTGTTCTTTACACTTGGTGATACTTTGAGTGTCATCCACGCAATCTTCCAAAGGCTTAAACGATACTACTTTGCACTCATATGCATGAAATTGCAAAATCGCACTCTTACTTCGTCGTCCTCATCCCTCTCTTCCTTTGGTTCATCAGTTGAAGACAACTCTTCTAGTTTCGGGGGAAATAAAGCGTTGAGCTCTCTCGTCCACCGTCGCTTCTATTTAAACTCTCAGTTTCTCCGGCTTGTCCTCCAGTTTCACCTCATTTCTTCCAGTTTCGCTAAGAAGTTATAGAGAACTGGACTTGGTGGATGACGTAATCCACATTCTTTTTAATCAGCCGTGAGATCGGAACCCTAAGTTGAAAGAATAGTATGACTTAAAGGGTTCCTCAAGAGTTAGAAGAAATGGTTAGAGCACCCGGAAACCGAGTTCAGGTTAGAAGAAAAGGATAACCAACAACAAGAGCATAAACAGGGAACAAGAGACGAAGATGAATCATCGCTAGCTCCTGATACATCAATGAAGCCATAACAACTAATTTCACTTGAAAAAAATGGAATTATTGTATCCTCAATATATATCTTTACTAGAGTTTAATTCTTGGCACTATTAGCATATATCAAGATTAGGTAGCAACAGCGAAGAAACGTATAAACTGTAACAGCATGCAGAATATTACAGAGCGTTAAGATTGTAATGGCAAAAGATTGCTTTGTAATGAAACCAAGTTCCCACAAGGAAACATGTTTTGGGGTGCATGTAATAATCCCTATCAGGGAACAAGAACAAACCATCCAGAAACAGAGGAGCTGACAGAGATTCGATTAACTGTTATTAAATTGAATTGAACAAACACATCTAGAGTTTCTTTGTCCAAAAATAGTTGAAAATCTCAAATTTGTAACGATCATATTTATATATCCAGCCAAGAGAGCAAAACAAAACTTGAAGAAAAGAGAAGAAATCACTTCTTAAAAAAATTAGAAGAAGTAATTAATTCTCATTCCCTAATTAAGCTAGCACAACGTAAGTGGCGAAGTGTATAATAAGTATATATAAAAAAAAAACTAAATTATTTGTGCAACAAATTATCCCAAGGAAAAAAAAAGTAGCTAAAAACCTCTCTTAATCAGCCCTCATCAGCTTGGTTACTAGCAGCCAGCTCCTCTTCCTCTTGCTTCAAGACGAAGGCGTGGATATCCTTGAGCATATTGACCTCAGCAGTCTTGGCAATCTTGAGAATTGGCTGATAGTAACAAAAGTGAGCATCCATACACTTCTTCAGAAGCGTTAAGTGTTTCCTACACTTGAGGATCCTTTGAGTATCATCCATGCAATCTTCCAAAGCCTTAAAGGATTCTTTGCAACCACCAGCTTCCATGAAATCGCAAAACCGCACTGATAGTTCGTCGTATTCCTCTCGTTCATCAGTTGAAGAAGATTCTTCCAGTTTCAGGGGTAAAAAGTCGTTGAGTTCCCTATCCACCATTTCCACAGTAGCCTTTGCCATCGCTTCTAATTGAACACTCACTTTCTCCGGCACGTCGTCCACGTCCTCCACGTCATAGTCTTCCATTTTATCTAAGAAGAAGAACTCGTATCGAGAATTGGACTCGGTGGATGACGCGATCCCCAGTTTTTTTTCTTATCATCCGTGAGATCGGATCCATATGGAAATCGGCTGCTGACGATTACAGATGTTGAAATTATTCCTCTGGAATGAAAACGATCGATGATCGATACACAGAGATATTTATATCGAGAGGATAAGCGGTTTATTCGCAGTTTCTGTTATGAATTATATATGACCTGGAAGCGTTGGACTTTTATTGGGCCTGTGGATCGACGAAGATGATTGAAGCCCAATTTATATTTAGCTTTAGTTTATTCAATTGTAACACGTCGTCGTTTCAGCAATTTTAATTCCAGTTTCTGGTACGCCTCTCCGGTTATTTCGTTTTGCTTCGAAGTGAAAAAAGCAGTCGTCTTTTTTTCCTCCAAATCGTTTGAACTTTCCGGGAACCATCGACGAATTAGAGCTGGCCACCTGTCACCGCAACGTCCTGTCTCTTCAGGGATTACTAAGTGCGCGCCATTTCAAGACGCGGAGATTCTCGGCATTGCAATGTTTGAAAAAGGTGGAAGAAGAAGGAAGAAAATTAACCCCATTGAGCGGATGTTTCTCGCTCTCAGACCATTCGAACCCGGAAATATCTTGTTTTCATCAGAATGGTTTCTCTCAAATCAGTAGAGAAACTACGGGAAGAGCTGTACATGCGCTTTGCGTCAAGGGATTGGTTCGTCTGAGTGTTCTCCACACCAACACTCTGATAAACATGTACACAAAGTTTGGCCGAGTCAAACCCGCGCGTTACCTGTTCGACGAAATGCCTCTGAGAAACGAAGTCTCTTGGAATACCATGATGTCGGGGATTGTCCGTGTTGGATTGTACGGTGAAGCTATTGACTTTTTCCGGAAAATGTGTGGTCTTGGGATTAAACCAAGTACCTTTGTGATTGCTAGTTTGGTAACAGCTTGTGGTAGGTCAGGTTCTATGTTAAGAGAAGGGGCTCAAGTTCACGGCTTTGTGGCCAAGTCTGGTTTGCTCTCTGACGTTTATGTGAGTACTGCGATTTTGCATCTTTATGGGGTTTATGGATTGGTTTCTTGTTCAAGGAAGGTCTTTGAGGAGATGCCTGACCGAAATGTGGTGACTTGGACTTCGTTGATGGTTGGTTACTCGGATAAGGGTGAGCCAGAGGAAGTCATTGATATCTTTAAAGGTATGAGAGGAGAAGGAGTCGGGTGTAATGAAAATTCCATGTCTTTGGTAATCAGTTCTTGCGGATTGCTTAAAGATGAATCCTTGGGCCGTCAAATTATCGGACAGGTTGTGAAATCGGGTCTGGAGAGTAAACTGGCAGTGGAGAATTCGCTGATATACATGTTTGGCAATTTTGGGAATGTAGACTCTGCAAAGGATATTTTTGATCAAATGTCTGAACTTGACACTATTTCTTGGAATTCGATTGCTGCGGCATATGCACAGAATGGTCATTTTGAGGAATCGGTTAGGATTTTCCATTTGATGCGCCATTTTCACGATGAAGTGAATTCCACCACAGTGTCAACTCTGTTATCAGTCTTGGGTCATGTGGATCACCAAAAGTGGGGGAGAGGGATTCATGGTCTGGTGGTTAAAATGGGGTTTGATTCGGTTGTCTGCGTGTGCAATACTCTTTTGAGAATGTACGCAGGAGCTGGAAGATCAGAAGAGGCAGAGTTGGTGTTTAACCAAATGCCCGCTAAAGATTTGATCTCTTGGAACTCTTTGATGGCTTGTTTTGTCGAGGATGGGAGGAGCTTAGATGCTTTAAGACTTCTCTGTTCAATGATAAGGACTGGAAAATCAGTGAACTATGTGAGTTTTACAAGCGCATTGGCTGCTTGCTTTAGTCCCGAGTATCTTGATAAGGGTAGGATCCTTCATGGGCTTGTAGTGGTCACCGGTTTATTTGACAATCAGATTATTGGTAATGCATTGGTTTCAATGTACGGAAAGTTAGGCGAGATGAGCGAATCAAGACGAGTACTGCTACAGATGCCTAGACGAGATGAAGTAGCTTGGAATGCTCTCATTGGTGGTTATGCTGAGGATGAAGATCCTGACAAGGCACTGGCGGCGTTTCGAGCCATGCGAGTGGAAGGTGTTCCTGCAAATTATATCACAGTGGTAAGTGTTCTTGGTGCTTGCTTGATGCCCGGTGATTTGCTTGAACATGGGAAGCCATTTCACGCCTATATAGTTTCTGCTGGATTTGAATCGGATGAACACGTGAAAAACTCGCTTATCACTATGTACGCAAAATGTGGTGATTTAAGCTCGAGTCAGGACCTGTTTAACAGATTAGATGAAAAGAATGTCATCACGTGGAATGCTATGCTTGCGGCAAATGCTCATCACGGCCATGGAGAAGAGGTGCTAAAACTTGTGTCAAAGATGAGAAGCTTTGGGTTGAATCTGGACCAGTTTAGTCTATCTGAGGCACTTTCTGCTGCTGCGAAGCTAGCGGTCCTAGAGGAAGGCCAACAGCTTCATGGTTTAGCTGTAAAACTGGGGTTTGAACAAGACTGTTTCATCTTTAACGCTGCTGCAGACATGTATAACAAATGTGGGGAAATAGGCGAAGTGGTGAAAATGCTTCCTCCATCGGTCAATCGATCGCTCCCGTCGTGGAACATACTAATATCAGCTTTTGGAAGACACGGCTTCTTTGAGAAAGTGTGTGAGACTTTCCATGAGATGCTCGAAATGGGAATCAAGCCAGGTCATGTCACATTTGTCTCTCTTCTTACAGCATGTAGCCATGGGGGATTAGTAGACCAAGGCCTTGCGTATTACGACATGATTGCTAGAGACTTCGGTATAAAACCAGCCATTGAACACTGCGTTTGTGTAATTGATCTTCTTGGAAGATCAGGGAGATTAGCTGAAGCTGAAGCCTTTATATCTAAAATGCCAATGAAACCAAACGACCTCGTGTGGCGTAGTTTGTTAGCTTCCTGCAAAATCCACGGGGATTTGGACCGTGGGAGGAAAGCAGCGGAACATCTCTCGAAGCTAGAGCCAGAGGATGATTCTGTGTATGTCCTGTCTTCGAATATGTTTGCAACAACAGGTAGATGGGAAGATGTAGAGAGTGTGAGAAAGCAAATGGGTTTCAAGAACATCAAGAAGAAACAAGCCTGCAGCTGGGTGAAACTAAAAGACAAAGTGAGTACGTTTGGTATCGGAGACAGAACTCACCCGCATACATTGGAGATATACGCAAAGCTAGAAGACATGAAGAAGCTGATCAGAGAATCTGGGTATGTGGCGGATACAAGCCAGGCGTTGCAAGATACAGATGAAGAACAAAAAGAGCACAATCTTTGGAATCATAGCGAAAGACTCGCTCTTGCTTACGCCTTGATGAGTACTCCTGAAGGTTCTACGATTAGAATCTTCAAGAACCTTCGCATCTGCGGTGATTGTCACTCTGTTTACAAGTTTGTTAGCAGAGTCATAGGTCGTAGAATTGTGTTGAGAGATCAGTATCGGTTTCACCATTTTGAGAGTGGTGTATGCTCTTGTAAGGATTACTGGTGAAAGAAGATGAACAAGCTTGTTTACGACTCTGTACAGCATAGCTTTCAAAAGTTTCATTCTAGGATACTTTAGTTAAGGTTTCAATCAGTTATGCAAGCATCGTGAAATTTGATTTTTGGTCAAAAGGATGCATGATTCTGTTTGTAGACAGGAATGAAACAATATTAGTTTTAGAACTTCGATTGGAAGTGAATATGGTCGTGTGATCAATTCAGTGAGCAATAAGACATAACTTCAGAAATCTCACTTGAGTAAAACACAGATTTCATTAGTTATTGAATTATAAAAAAGACATTCAGATCGAGTACAGCAACAGCCTATTTAAAAAATCCAAGTTTTACAGAAAAAAAAAAGAAGCAAACGCCAGGAAAGTCCAGTCTAATCGCATGATTGTTTGCTAAACTATGAGGGAAGTTACTCGACTTCAGCAAGGTAATCATCGATCTCTGCTGGTGTTAGTACCCTGCATTAACCCCAGAAATCAGTTATTGGGTATCAACAACATTCTATTCAAACATCTAACGACGGCAACAAAGATTCTTGGTTTTGAACAAAAAGGGTACCTGAAAACTTTGTCAGCACCGATTTTGCCAATCTCGATATTTTTGCTCGAGATCTCTCCCTCAAAGCTACCAAAACAAAACAAAAAAAAAAAGGTGAAGGCTTGTAAGAAGATTAAAGCTACATGTGTGTATGGACAAGACAACACATGATTCCATTTTAAAAGATGATACTCTAACAGCCACAAGACTTGGAACTTTCTATTAATGAATGATCAAGAGACCTTAAATCCGTAGATTCTTACTTACCCTTCTTTCAGTGTCAGTATGGCTGTGTGAATAGCATCGTCGAGTTCCATGTCTTCCGTGTACCTGCAAGGAAATGATGTTTGGTTAAGGTTGGCAAACGAAAGAAGAGCAGTCTCCTGTTACAACGGGAGCCTAAACTAACAAAATTTGAGTGGTCGAAATAAATTCTATGACCAGCTAGCTGATTCTAGAATGTTACATGTATTTCCCTCTGTGGTACCAAAAGAGATAGACAAGAATACCTTTTCTCAAGGAATGTTTTTGCATTAGAAACGTTCTTCCCCATTGCTGAAGCTTTCCAAGAGAAATAAGAGCCTGATGGATCCACCTAGCAAGAAAAACAAAAAAAGTATTGAGTTAGACCTCCAGTGCAGATAAATCCTGACGCAAAATTTTAATTCTCCGGTGATGTTCTCTAAATGAGATGATAATTCAGTTTAAACAGAAAGATAAGGACAGGTAAAACACTCAGCTACAAGTTTCACCGAGAATTTATTTTTAGTGCTAAAAAGTGGAAATTGAGCTAAGTATTGTGGTCCATCAACTAGCACATATCCTTAAGGAGAAATTACCTGGTATAGCTGTGGACCCTTGTCGTCATATCCAGCTACCAGCAGAGAAACACCGAACGGCCTAACACCACTGTTAACAAGAGAAGGTAACAAATTTTAGAAACAGGAAATACGATCTTAGCAATGGGTGCATATTTTGCTAAAGCAATGTTGAGAGTGCAAAGTGAAGCACTTAAGAGTTGCCTATTCTGAGCACATAGTTCAATGGGAATATGAGAGAAAGCAAACATATGACAGATATAAATTAGTTTTACAATTTAAACAGAATAAAACTTACCCTGATTGAGTAAACTCTTGCATAACAGTGGCGGTTTCCCTTACAAGTTGGGTAACAGGGATGGGTTCCTGCAACAATAAAACTTCCTTAGATGATAAAACAACTGAATTGACAGGGAACCAAACGTTTGTGAAGAAAAAAATAACAAAACTAACTGAAACTATATCACATTAGCAAGGAATCCAAGAAATATTGAGAAGTAGAGAGATAGGATTACTTTGTACAGTCTCAGATATTGCTCAGCCTGTTTCCTACTCTTCCTAACAAGCACTCGAAAATCAGGACCCATGCCACTTCATAGAAGAAAAAAAGGATAAAATTTAGTACTCTAACTACAACACCAACAACAAAAAACTTAAGGTAAGTGAGGAAAACCTGTATACAACTCCAATATTAGGAGTCAAATGCTGAATCTTTTGAACCTGAAACAAACAGACAAAAGAGAAAACTAATCTCAAAGATATTGACTGGAATTACGAAATCTAATAAAGCACAACATAGCATAAACTACAGAGTAATGGTACGAAAATCTTGAATCATCCAATCGAAGATAATCAGCTTACAGATGCTTCATCGACCAGAATCGAAGGCAATTTCTTTTCGGTTGCAATGACAACTCCATTAGCAGCTGCAGTAAGAAAGCCAGATATGAGAAGAATTCATCAACTTTCCTTTGTTCAATTAGCAATCAATCATGTCACTGACAAACCTTTGATCCCCAAAGAAGTTTGGCCAGATCCAACGGCTGTAAGGGCATGTTCTATCTGAACCAGCTTCCCAGATGGACTGTTCTCATCGCCACAACAAAAGATTAGCCACAGGAAATTAGTAAACGATGCAACAGACCCAAATTCTATGAAGGTATGATCAAAGAAGTTCGTACCTGAAAGTAGTGAGCGAAAACGAATACTGACTGTCACCCATTTCACTCTTAAGCAAATCAGCGAGAACTGTAAAGACACACAGCAAGAGGGTCAATCTTCTAACTATAACTCCACAGAGTAAAACCAAGTGGAGATCAATTTCCGGACTCTAGTAAGCAGGAACAGTTTCTAAAGCTCTAAGATTTCAACGTCACTGCGATCAGCTCAAACGCAGCGATTTAGGTTCCGTTTTCGTAATACATCAAACTCAAAAAGGGTACCATAGAACGGGAATAATGAGAGAGCGATTTGAAACCTCGAACAATGAAGCACCGCTGGGAAGAAAATAGATTTACCTTAGCTTTGATGTTGAGATCGAATGAGCTGAAGAGAGATGGAAGAAATAGCTTAGGTTTCTTGCAGAGAAGGTTGAAGTGAGAATTTACGAAGAAGAAAAGGGAAGACGAGCCAAACGACAGCGTTTAGTTAAATAAAAAAGTAAGTAGCAAACGACAGCGTTTACAAAGAGAGTGCACGTTGATGTAACACTTTGGTTCGGTTCTGATCGGTTATTCTTTTTGCGTTTGGTTCGGTTCTAATTTTCGGATATAGGAAAAGTAATTCTATCTAGACCATATGGTTTCGGTTTGGATCGATTACTCTGGATCAGGTCAGTTAATCTGGATTGAATTACTCCATCATCCGAAAATTATTTGTTTTGATACCAAAAATCTTTGTTAGCAGATTTCCAATACATATACACATATAAGAGTTTAAATTTATTCCCAACAAAAAAAAAAAAAAAATGAAGTTAATGAAAACCAGAAGCAAATTCAGCTAAATAAAATTGACTATACAACTTCATTGTATCCAACCATCAACACAACACAGATATTCTCCAAAAAATACTTGTTTAGAAAATTGCAACACAACAGTCTCCCTTAAGATTTGAGTAAGTAATATTGTTTCCACAACATCTTTTATCAATTGTAGAAGAAATATTTTTCTTTCTAGCTAAAACAACTCTGTTAGTAATTATAAAGAAACAATTTTAGATTGAGCCAAAAATTAATTTAGAAATTTCCACAATTAGTTATACTACTAATTTTTTTATCAAAAAAACCTACTTATGATCCAAGAGATCGGTTATCTTCCACGTGTTTCGATAATGATTTCGTATCATGATTAACTGGAAATTATTTTTCGAGTGGGTTTCGTGCGAGTAGTGTAGCCCCCTATGTTCTTGTATTTGTAGATAATTTGTCCAATGTTAAATACGAGGGGAAAACCATATCATTCTTCTCATTTTACCGTAATTTAAGACAACAATTATATCATATGGTTACAACCTTAAAAATCCCAAACTGGCAATATGTTACTCTATAATAATTTCAACCTAATCCCTAAATTATATCATATGGTCATTTTTTACCACTACAAACTTTACATACATATATCTAAAAAAATTGTTTCCATAAGTTTCTTTCCTAACAGAAAAAAAAGTTTGTCCCACAATTTACATTCCAAAGACTATGGGTAGCAAACTATAGAAGAGCATTAGCAACTTCTCTAGAGATCTTCTTTTAATTTATTAATTAAAAGGTACCTGAAAACTCTGTCATCACCAATTATGCCAATTTCCATATTGTTGCTGGTGAGCTCTCCGTCGAAGCTACAAAAAAAAAAAAAAAAAAAAAATTAAAACTACACGCATCTATGGTATATGAACACATTCGTACTTACCCTTCTATTAGTGTCCGGATCGCTGCGCGAGTAGCTTCCTCGAGAGTCATGTTTTCGTTTTCGTCGTACCTGCAACAACGAAAAGAGGGCAATTTTACTGTTACAACGGGAGCCTAAACTAATAAAATTGAACGATCCTAAACCAATAAAATTCGAGTGATCGAATCAAATCCCAAGAAAATTTGTTTGAGTGATAAAAGTATGGTTACAAGCAATGTTAAGAATATTTGGAATACCTGTTGCGAAGTGATGTTTTAAGGTTTAAGACCCTTTGAGCCAGAGATGAATACTTCCACGCTTCATACGATCTCGCCACATCCATCTTAACATAAAATCACAAATGAAATTAATATAAAGAACCAGATGTAGATTAAACTAAAGAAAATTAAATCATCACCTGATATAAATGAGATCCACTCTCATCGAATCCAGCTAGTAATATTGTCTCTCCAAAGCTTTTAGGCTCATAAAACTGGAGAAACCTACTTGTTAGATCGCCAAAGATTTGTGGTATCGATTGTGTTTCCACAGTTCTCTTTACATGATTCACGCCAGCAATTCCAGTGATTCCACAACTAGTGGTCAATCTCTCAATTGCACAAGAAACAGTTTTCTCTCTCGCTAAAACTACTCCTTTCGTAACTGCATCAAAGAAAAGAAACCATTTTTTAGCAAAGAACTAAGAGCAAGTAATTAAATTTCATCAAGATAAAAACTTACCTCTAATCCCCAGAGAATTTCCTGCTAATCCAATTGCTGTAGTTGCATTTTCGCTTCCAACCATTATACATTTTGCATATGGATAATCTCCGAAGTAGATTTTTTCCCAAGTGTTGCGTGGAATCTTGTTGATGACAAACGGTGAAGATGATGCAACGAACTTCTTCGTAGGCTTTAGATCAATCAAATGAGGATTTTTACGCGGGCGTTGTGGGTGTTCCTTTCTGCCAATTTGTTTGTAGCCGATCTTTAAGAGCTCAAGAAAAGTGGACAAGCGTCGATCGCTTTTGACATTCATGCTTCAATTTTAAAGCGAAGAAGGAGGAATTGAAGAGGAAGAAAATAAAAGTAGTGAAGAAAGAAGAAGAAGACGGTGGAGAAGACGAAGAAGAGGAAGAAGAAAGTGAAGAAACGAAGTGAGGAGATTCTGTTATGGAGCTGGCGCGAGTCAGTTAAGTTTCCAACCGTTCTTCTAATTTTATAAAAATTAAAAGAAAAAGATATGTGGAAAAATGCAAAAAACTCAAGAAATCTGTTTCACGGATTAATACCCAAATTAAACTGTGCGTTTTAACTAAACTCAAAATGACGCGTTTTCGGCTGGGTGTACAAATATCAGAATCGGCTCGGTTTATTTATATGGTTGAGATCCGGTTTCGGTTTTAGCTCAGATATCCTCTTTTGGAACCTCTGAGCTAACCGGATCGGTTAATCCGGATTGAGCTTACTCCATCATCGAACAAAGCTTGAAAAAGCTGCGAGCTTTTTGGTTGCTGCGGAGAATCTGACAGGAAAGTATTGGTGGCCTTAAACTCAAGAGTTTGTTCTCTGCATCGTATTGAGGTGATATGGCTTCGACCCTTTTCTCCAGAACTTTATTGGTTGCTGGTCACCGCGTGATTAATCCCTCTCTAACTTCTGTTCTTCCGCAGAAGACCCGTCACTTCGCAACCATTTTGAATGTAAGCTGTAATTAATTCGATTTTAGATTGTCTCTCAACTTTGGTATTCGTTTGATCGTGGTTTCATTTATAGTTTCTGCTCATTCACCGGTTAGTCAGTTTCTCTTTTCACTGTGAAATTAGGAATTTTGAACTGAAATTGAGAATTCGAACTGTGTTCACTGTGATTTCCGGTGAATTTCATTGCATAAAAAACATTTTTTTCCTGCTAAAACTTGTTCGGTAGTGATAACCATACGTATAGACATGTTCTATTATGCATTCTTGTGCCGAATTCTTATGTGGCGTTTTGTAACGCAGTTACGCTCCGCCTCTTATTCAACTTATAAGTCAGCTACGTACGTTGGTCGAGTCATGGCTTCTACTGGAGTTGGGTCAAAAGCTGGTTACTCTACATCATCCGTATCTACCAACGAACCTGTTGTCTCTGTTGATTGGCTCCACTCTCATCTTAGAGATGCTGATATAAAGGTAACCGTCGTTGCTCTTGTTGAGATTGAGGCTTCTCATGAATTCTTACGTAACTTGTTTTTTTCCTGGTCAGGTTTTGGATGCTTCATGGTACATGCCACATGAGCAAAGAAATCCAATCCAAGAGTATCAGGTGACCATTTCTACTGTTTGTAGATAACTAGCTTTAAGCCTTTTGTTCTGCATAAAAATGAAAACGCTGCACTAGAGTTAGTGCACGACCTTCATGTTGTTTGGCTTGTATGTTGTCCTCTTCTACAGGTTGCTCATATTCCAGGTGCTCTCTTCTTTGATTTGGATGGACTATCAGATAGAAAAACAAATGTGAGAATCACCATTTGTTCTCCCCTTAGAGGCGATGTTATCATGTTGCTTATTTCTAACTAAAGCTTCTATGTGTCTTATGAATGCGCAAGAATCAGAACGTTTTGTATATTAACTGAATTTTCATATGACAGTTACCACACATGCTACCATCTGAGGAAGCTTTTGCTGCTGGTCGCTCTGCTCTCGGAATCGAGAACAAAGATGGAGTGGTTGTGTATGATGGAAAGGGGATCTTTAGTGCAGCTCGTGTATGGTGGTGAGTTACAGATCTCACGTCCCTAAGCTTTTTTTTCTCTTTGCTCAGTATGTTTTTCATGTATCATCAAATTGATGATGAATGCTTGTTTTTTTAATATCAAAACAGGATGTTTAGAGTCTTTGGACATGACAAAGTATGGGTACTTGATGGAGGCCTACCGAGATGGCGTGCTTCAGGTTATGACGTTGAATCTAGTGCTTCAAGTGATGCCATTTTGAAAGCCAGTGCAGCAAGTGAGGCTGTTGAGAAAATTTATCAAGGACAAACAGTAAGTTTGTTCATTTTTATAAGAATGGCTTTTTACCAAGTTGATCCATCTGCAAATTCCAAATTCAGTTTGTTTAACCTGTTACTTATGGTTTGTACACATATTTACTGCTTGCACAGATTAGTCCATTAACTTTTCAGACGAAGTTCCAGTCACATCTTGTATGGGGACTTGATCAGGTTAGTGTTTTCAAGACTTTAAGATTGTGTTCTTATTCAATTCATTTGGTTCAGTGATCACCTGGTTTAGCAAACAGGTTTTCATCCAATAGTATAATTGACCAGGTCAAGGAAAACATGAAGAATAAGACCTATCAGCACATAGATGCGCGTGCAAAAGCTAGGTATGTTTCCAAAGTGATTGCTTGTTCTGCATTATCCGCTTGTTGTAGCATATGATGTAAAATTTTACTCTGTTTCACAGATTTGATGGTATTGCTCCAGAACCTCGTAAGGGGATACCGAGTGGTCATATACCCGGTAGCAAGTGTATCCCTTTCCCCGAAGTAGGCCACCGTTTAGCTTGAAGAGCTTATCGTTATATTTGCGCTTTGACACCATATAATGTGATGAATATATTCTTGTGCAGATGTTTGATTCCTCTCAAACGTTGTTACCAGCAGAGGAGCTTAAGAAACGGTTTGAACAAGAAGGTAAAAGAACAAAGCCATCTTGTTATCGCACATTCTGTAAGTAGTTGTTTTAACTTTTAAGTGATTTACTTTGACCGTTTTATCTGCAGACATCTCAGTGGACAGTCCAATCATGGCCTCATGTGGAACCGGTGTAACAGCTTGTATTTTGGCATTGGTAACTATAAGCTCACATATAATTCACTTATTTAGTGTGCTCATATGGTAAAAGCACGGAGACTAATTGCTCTCTTTTTTAAACCGGTCAGGGACTTCATCGACTGGGAAAAACCGATGTGCCAATCTATGATGGGTCTTGGACTGAATGGGCAACCGAACCAAACTTGCCCATGGTGGGTTCTTCGTCATGAAAGTCAAAGAAAAAAAACTACAAGATCCCAAAGCCAGTGGGTAGTGGATATGTCATCATAATGTAAGATTTAACTTGAGGATGCGCATGAAGCTTGGCTTTGTTTAAACAATATTCTGTATGCATTAGGATTCTGCACTTTAGATGAATCTTTGTGGAAATTGATAAGGAATCCTCTGAAAAATCAGCAAATTGTTTCTTATTCTCAAACACAGATCATCCCGGTTATGTTGTTTCTACACAATTTTATGATTATGGACCCGGACATGTTGCAAGCTAATGATAATTGTCGGATCGTGAATTCATTAAACATTAATATTATTATAAATGTGTAGTTGAAAGACAAGATGACCGCGTGGCCTAATGGATAAGGCGCTCGCCTCCGGAGCGGGAGATTGTGGGTTCGAGTCCCACCGTGGTCGTTTTTTATATATTTTATAATTACAATAATGTAGCCTTATTTCGCTTGCCTCGGCTTCTTCTCCAGTTTCTTGCTCATCGTCTTCTTTCACATTCCTTGTTATTAAAGAATCCTTTATTTTTGTTATTTGGTATGCTTGGATAGTTCAAAACCTTGGCTTTCCTGCAAAGTTGAAGCTACTTAATAAATCAGATTGGTATTTTAAAAATAATTTACCCATCTCTGAAAAGTCTTTCGCTTTTAGACACAAAACTCAAACAATTCCACCACCTCTCTGATCTTAATTTAAAGTTTGATATTTATCGTCTTTCCATTAGCTTCCATTGACAAAGGCATACAATAAATACATAGAGACGTACACGTGATGCTTTAATCTACAGGCAAAACATGTACTCGCTTCCCGATGGCCAGGCTTCAGTTGCTTAGGTTCCAAACTTTTAGAAGACAATTACAGCAGATCATGGGACTTTAGCAAATTATAATAGTAATCTTCGGTCGTCCTATTAAAATGTTTTCGTTTAGTCTGTAACAAAATATGTCTCATTTGAATGTTAGAAACAGCTGATTAGCTCCGGAAAATAAGATTAACACATATTTTACCCTGAAACTAGAGATCATCGGACCCCAAATTAGTTGCGAAAGAAATTGAACTTGGAAACCAGTCAAGTTGGATGTCAGATTGTGAAGCCACCGGTGAATAATTCATAGCCACCGGTTGTATGTGGACCAAATACCGAACCAACAAAAATAATGGATAGTATCATTCACCTATTATGGCCGGTAACCGGTTACTTCACTCCTCTCAGAAACTTCCAAGCGATTGCACACCGTTTCATTTCATTATCTACATTCCACTATAAATACATCCTTTTTCAACACTATAGTTTCCTCACATCCACTTTCCCCCTCATCTTCCTCCCATATTTACAGTAGTGCCACTCTGGTTGTGATAGCTTCCGGTGACCGGCGCCAATACGAGAGCTTCCGTCGCTTCTGTCTGATTTGAAATCGTTGGTTGATTAGCGTTTATTGATCTCACAACATGCCGCTGAATCCAAAAAACGGTAATCGGAAAGGAACGTCGGAAACTGAGAAGAATCGCCGGGGAAAGTTACCGGAGAAAGCCATGTCGTTTCACGGCAGAGCTACGATGCCTCTATCGAATCCAAATGAGCTTCGAAGACCGAAGACGTTACCGGAATTGTTCTCCAACGGTCATCAAACCTTCGTCGGACCGGTGGCTTCTATCCCGCGTCTGACGAAACTGCTTCTCAACGTGACGGTTCAAGGGAGTCTAGGCGCTGTTCAGATTATAATCTCACCGGAATCCACCGTGAACGATTTAATCGACGCCGCGATTCGTCTGTATGTGAAAGAAGCTCGACGACCGTTCTTACCGGAATCTGATCCGTCGCGATTCGATCTTCACTACTCGCAGTTTAGCCTCGAAAGTAAGATTTTTCTCTTTTTCCTCCTAAAAATCGTCGTGGCTGATTTTGAGTTATAGTGATTTTGAGTTGAGAGTTGATATTTTGTGTAATTCGTTTTTAGGTATTGGAAGAGATCAGAAGCTAATTTCGCTTGGATCGAGGAACTTTTTCTTATGTGGTCGGAAAGAGAACGGAGGAGGATTCAACAACGGTGGTGGATCATCGGAATCGTGTTCGAAGGAAGCAGAGAAAGTGGCTAAAACTGGTTTTCACTGGCTCAAATTCATCGGTTTCTAAGAAGTTTATACCATTTCTAAATTTTTTTTCTCCTTCTTATTTTTTCTATTAGGAATCAAATATTAATTTTAGGAAACTTAATCTCGGTAAAAACAGTCGATTTATATTTCTACGATATAGAAATAAATCATCTGATTAGTGGCAAATAATGTATTTAATTCAATTATTTGCCAAGATATTTAGTACCGAATTATAGTGGAAAAACATGCTTTCGGTTTATGTAATGACGACCTAAACCAACCTTATCGGCTTATCCAATACCGACCGAAAGTCAGACATGGGTGACAACGGACAAACCAATTTATTGACGTGTTGCTCTGCATCTCTCAGACTAATCTAATTTTTTCTCTTCTTTCCTTCTTTCAGATTAATCTAATAACATGTGAACTCATTTGTTTTTGTCGACATCTATGATGTTTGTTTGATAACGTAATACAAATCATTAAGCTATATGTTAATCAGTTAATGATATCTTGGTCCATTTCTTAAATATCTTTTATGTAACACGTTTGAATTGCATAAATAACTTTGTTGACCATATTTATTAGCTCATGTAGCGTTCCCCGAAAAGGTGATATGTTAAAATACATTTTGTGGATCTGAAATTCTGAATAAATCACTATTCTCTCTTGAACATGAAGACAAGAACCGGAGCTAAGGGCCGGTTCAACATTTGGAATTTGCAGCATACCCAATCACTGACTGGTAAACCCGACCCAAAAGCTTCAACCACATCCAACTCTTCCCTGAACAACAACAACAACAAGGACAACCACAAAAATGGATCAAACATAAGTTACAAAACTTCTCATCTCAAATTTGATCAGATCAATCAGAGAAAAATCTCTCTGCAAGCCATTTATTTTATACCTTCCACCAGGATGCCCAATGTAAACCACCAAGCTGATGAGACCACCGGGCATCAAGATCCTCTCAGCAGCCTTCAATGCCGATAATGTTGTATCCGAGACAGTGATTATCGACTTATTTCCACCTGGAAGATACCCCAGATTGAATGCAACCATCCTAATCTCATCAGAAAAAAAGATTTCAAACTTTTCAGGAAGCCTACCTAATGCAGCGAGGAAACAAATTGCTGTATCTGTTGATCGAATTTACATTGTACCTCACACGGGAGTTTTTAGGGACAATCTCTTCCATCTTACTATGACAGATGTTAAAAAGTTTGACACGTTCCTTCTGCATTTCTTCAGCAGAAATGAAAACAAGAATCGATCTTAGTAACAACCTTAACAATGTATGAATTGAACTTAAACCACTAACCTCTTTTAAACCAAGGGTTTGATCTAGCAAAGAAGAAGTGCTCTCAATGGCATCTTTTTGAATGTCCATTGCATAGACATAACCATCACAATCATCAGAATCATTCATGACCATCTTCAGCATTGCTAAAGTATCGTTCCCGTTTCCACAAGTAGCATCAATTACCATATCCCCCTTTTGGATTACCTGTTCCCACACACTAAATAGTAACAAATCAGCAGTGGTATTATAAGAAACTATCTATGTACATAAAACTACGATCCAAAGCCTCAATTTTATTTAATCTAAAGACAGATTTTCTCATGTCATTGCTAGAGCTCCAAGGTTAAAGTGAAGAAAAATGAACAATAAAGCAGTTAAAGTGTTATGTTTAAAGTACTCACACATGAGCTACTTCTGTTGCCTTCTTCCTCCCAAATACATAACCAACAAAAACATTCTCTAGCCCTGAAACGAAAAAAACAGACTTCCCTTTAACGGCATAAATGCTAATCGCGACCCGGTAGCTCCGTACCAACTCGATTTCATTCCATACACTAATATATCAAAATTTTGACCTGAAATTGGAAAATCTCGTGAATGCGAAGGAGACGAGCTGAAAGCAGCAAAACGAGAACGTCGAATTCTGAGACAATGGTTTCGTTCCATTGCAATTCGAAAATCGAAAGCCATTATCGTTTTGCGGAACGGAATCGAGCATGAGCGCGCCAACGTAGAGGATAACATTGACGACATCTCTGCTTGAAAGAACCCAGCCGCCATTGCAGAGTGTTTTTAATTTCTCCAACTAAAAGTTTAACATTTTCCTCAATGTAATAATAAACAGTGGGCTTTATATTCGACACAAGTGTTTATAACGTTACGGCCCAATAAAAAGGAAAGATTCAAAATACATGATCGTTATTTTAATTACCGCTAAAAATATTCAAAATCAATGTAATCAGGATCACTACCACTTTTAGCAAACTCACGCATCTTCTTCTTCTCTCCACCGTCAACCGCCGCCGGAGCAGAATCCTTCTCTTTCTTCAAATAACACGAGAAATCCACCGGCTCTGGCAAATGCGGCGGAGTTTCACCGCGGATCAACGCCCAATTCACACCTTCAAAGAAAGGATGCTGCTTAATCTCCGTGGCTCCGCGCTTATACGCAATTCTCTTCTGCGGCTCTTTCACCAACAGACCTTTGATCAAATCCTTCGCCGTCGAGCTCACCTGAGAATCCTCCGGGAATCTCAGAGGCTGCCTGATCACGTTATAAAGCGTCTCTTTATTCCCTTGTCCTTTAAACGGCGTCGCTCCATGGAGAAGCTCGTAGATGAAGATTCCGAACGTCCACCAATCGACGGCGCTCCCGTGGCCTTCGTTGCGAATAATCTCAGGCGCTAAGTACTCGTGAGTCCCGACGAAAGACATCGACTTCACGTTCGCCGGCTCTGCCATGAGCTCTAGTAACGATCCGTCGGAATCGGATTTCGATTTTCGGGTTTTCTTCGAGGATTGGAGGATTCTTGGGAAGAATGAGGATGGTTGGTAACATCCTTGTACCCCCACGTTATCGTCTTCGCCGATGACTCCTGTGGCTCCGCCGCCGTTGACGTGGACGGAGGATGATTTGACGAGTGTTGGGTTGACTGAACACCGGAGAGATAGATCGAAATCGGAGAGCATGATGTGACCGTCGTCTCGAACCAGAACGTTCTCTGGCTTTAGGTCTCGGTATACGATTCCGAGCATGTGTAAGTATTCTAATGCTAATAACACTTCTGATGCAAAGAACCTATTCACCAAAAAAACCAAACATTACGTTTTTGCTCTGTTTATATACTCTGTTTTTATATGGACTAACCTTGCAGCGTCTTCGGTGAAGCACTTGTTGGGTTGCTTGAGTCTCAAGGAATAAAGATTGCCTCCGCTACAAAACTCCATGACCAAGCAATAGAACTTATCAGTCTCAAAGTGAGAGTAAAGAGTAGGCAAGAAAGGATGATCAAGCTGAGACAAGATCTCTCTCTCCGTCTGAGCTCTTAGCAGCTTGTTCCTGCTCACAAGAGAAGCTTTATCCATCACTTTCATCGCGAAATACGTCCTGGTATTAGCTCCTTTGAGCTCGACGAGATAAACACTTCCGATGTCTCCGTAACCCAGCCGTTTCAGGACGCGGAAATCACTGATTCCGAGCTTGATGATGCCTCTGGATTTGAGAGAGTTCACTGCGTCCCACCTGATATCTCCTCCTGTGTGAGGCTTGGAATGATTGTTAGATGATGTGGTTTCTATGCTGTTGCTTCGTGGTGAGCTTGTGTTATTGTAAGCAGGACGACTGTTTTGGTTGATGATTATAGACGTTGCTGTTTTAATTAGATGTTCTTCAACCTTCTTTGTCTGTTGACCAAATTGCTTCTGCATATCTTTACGCGGTTGTTGTTGTTGTTGTTGTTGAGATTTATGGTTCGAGGCTGAGTCAGGATGATGACTCATCTGCACAAGAACATAAAACTAGGGCTATGAATTTGACAGCTTTCTGTAAAGTCTTTTTGACATGATATACACACAAGAATCGGCAACCGTAACTAGCCAAATACAAGTTATACTTCATACATGTATATCTAACTCTAAATAATTAATACTTTTCATGGGTTATGTGATCTTAATATCCCCTTTGTGCAAATGATGATAAAATGAGATTACCTCCGCCGAGACAATCTTGTTTCCGGGTTTCAGCAACATCGCCGGCCAGACTTGCACGGAGAGAGTTTTAGTCTTTTAGATCAAGAGTCATCTGCTTTCCACGTTTTGAAAATAAGTCCATTTTTTTTTTTGTCTTTAAAGCATCAGTTTACTTTATTTTATCATTAAGATTCCGACATTACTTGTTGTCACGAATATAACAAAGCTTCATTGTCTGAGAAGATAGGTGAGCACGTCGTGATCCAATGTTTTTTTTTTGTTTTTGTTTTCTGTTACATGTTTCGATAAAAGATTACTAATAGTTGAATGGAACTATGCGTTGAGAAATATTTTATGGATTCCAAAGAACGGTGAAATGGTGGAAGGAAGAAAAAGTCTTTTGTTAATAATATGTTAACAATGTCTCAGATTATTGAATTATAGAGGCTCAAGCATCAGTTTCTCTGTAAAGCATAGGGGTTCGACATAGAGGAACATTCTTTGTAAAATCGAAATTCTTCACTACAATTTGATGATTAAATGAAGGAACTTTCCATTGAATAATTTGAACTCATGTTACATTTTTTCTGCTTTGGTTAAAAAGATAGCTTCGAAGTTACAAAATCTACTAACTGTCAAGAGTCAATCTCTGAGCAGAAGAATAATAATGAGACTCGAGCTCTTTAAGACTGGCTGAAGCATCGTCTGCTATTCTAGCCAACAATCGATTAGTCTTCTCAGCTTCTTGATCAAACTCTTCAATTCTCTGTTCCACGTGATCGTTTAGTGATGCAAATCCAGAGAAAATCGCAGTTTGCTTCAGCTCCGATACAAGTTTCAGAAGAGAATCAGCTGCTTGAACCTGCCATCAGTAACAAACTCACTTTAGCAAACACAGCGATGGCATAAGCTACCAAAACAAAACTCAAATGAGATCTTTAGTGAATGTCTCAGAGATTCAGACATTTCAAATCAGTAAGCTTGAAATCCAAAATTGCTGCCACAAATATTAATGTTTCAGAGATTCAAATATTTCGCATCAGTGAGCTTGGGACTCCTAATCCCTAAAACATAAATCCTAATTGCATATGCTCCAAAGAAAGTAATTTGAATTCGAATTAGTAATGTAATTAGTTACCATTCTCGAAGCTCGCATCTCCATCATGTACGCTTCCTGCGAGTTCTTCACCGGCTGATCATTCACCTACCAAAACCATACATGTACACCTCAATAAACCGCCGATGAAATTCGAAAACTTTCCCAACCGGTTTCCGAAAAATGGTAATCTTTCAATCGATTGTATGCTCCAAATATTGAAGTCTGATAAATGCTAACTCTAAGATCGAGAAGGAATCACTTACCCTTGCGACATTGACGATTTGCGTGAAGTTATCGACGACGGATGTGATGTCAGCCTCTACTCTTTGTAGTAATGACTTTTGCTTCTGTAAGGCAGCAGCGGCTGCGGCGGCCGTCGGCCCTTTTGGTTCATTGCCACCGGGTCCACCGCCACCGGAACCACCGCCCTTGTTCATCGCTATCGCTGGTCCTTGCAGAGAGGCAAAGAAAGTCAATAGATGGCTATGGAGGATTAAGTGATGTATAAACAAAAGGCCGTGAAAGTATTTATGGGCCTAGTTATTGGGCTTAGATCATATATAAATATACATGCCGATGTTCGTTAATTGCTATTGACTTTTGATTATTTTTTTTTGGTTGACTAGAAATTTAATGGTGCTGCTTTTATGTCCACAGAAAAATAAAATTTCGGAATGTAAATAAAACTGAGATTGGATAAAGAGAAAATACAAGGAAAATAATGCATTCATGAACAATCGGTCTCAGCAAGTACACAGGACCACACCAGAGCAAAAACAAAGTTACGACTAATTAAATCAAATAAACAGTGCGACGTTTGGTAAACGATAAATGTCTTTACTCTACACGACATAATTCGATAATGAATGCATGCAGAACCTATCTCCTTGCTGAACAAAACTTTAAAGCAACTTGAGGAGATGTTACACTTATCCGAGATAAATGAATAATGCTATGACAATATTATACATACAAAAACCTTATTTTTTTCCCGTACGTACGTACCAAACTCTTACAGTCGATCAATCAATAAATTGATACACAAGCCCTAGATCCTCTAACAAAACCATACGTTTGATCATTTCATCTCAAACTTTCTTTCCTTGAAAGGTTTGAAACTTTGCAAAATAATTTTTGGAAGCACAGCTTCATTTACATTGTCCATACCAAGAGCATAATGGAAAATGAATCTTGCAAAAACAATGCTTTAATAGGTTCATTTTTAATATACTGACCTGAGATAGACGACTTGCAAGGAGGAATCGTAATACTATATATTGTCAACTCCTCTTAAATAAACCTAATCTAATCCTAGATTCGTAATTGCTAATAATAGGCCGCCGCAGACTAATCCAAATGATTAGGTTAATAGCTCTCATGTTTATTCGTTTCCCAAACTACAAAAAAACTTGTATACCTCTATCACGTACGTAAAACATAATTATATATCTATGTTCTTTGAAACAATAGCTATATTTATAATTTCGCTATTAGAAAATAAAAGACCAAGACAATATAAAACGAGACCATAACAGCACCAACGAAGTTTCGCCAAATAGAAAAAAAGGCCAAAAAAAAGCCAAGAATGTTAGTGATCTGTATTGGACCATTCGTTATGGTTGACTGCTAAACGTTTCGTTTATAATAATAATAAACTGAATTAGAAACAATTCTCTCTCAGAACAAAAGAAAAGAACTCTTCTCCTGTTCTCCACAAAAGAGTAAAAGAAACACAAAGATAACATTTATTCATTCGTCAATGGCAAAGAAAGCGCTTTTGATCGGGATCAACTACCCTGGAACCGCCGTAGAGTTACGCGGCTGTGTCAACGACGTCCGTCGGATGCATAGATGCCTAATCGACCGTTTCGGATTCTCCGACAAAGACATAACAGTACTGATCGACATAGACAAGTACCGTACCCAACCCACCGGCAAGAACATCAGAGATGCTCTAGAGACACTCATCGATAAGGCGGAACCTGGTGATATCCTTGTCTTTCATTACAGTGGACATGGCACGAGAATCCCAACACCGGAAGGAATATTCGACGCCACAAACTTTGACGAGTGCATCACTCCTTCCGACATGAATCTTATAACGGGTATGTGATCAAAACTAATCCTTTTTCCATTTTACGGTTAGGTCATGCACGAAGTCATATGAAATGTTATGGCCTAAGCAAAGCTTTCATTTTTCGATTAATGAAAACAGAGCACTCTGTTTTCGACGTTTTTATGCGCAACTTCTACAATTCCTTTTCTGACAAAAGAAATGTGTGTTGCAGACAATGATTTTAGAGACATGTTGTCAAAGGTCAAGGAAGGATGTAAATTGACGATAATCTCAGACTCTTGTCATAGCGGTGGACTCATCGAGAACGTAAAGGAACAGATCGGGGATAGTCACGTGAACAAGCTGAAACCGGCGGAGAACACTAATTTCTTTGTTAGGATTTTTAAAAATTTGCTGGCGGTTTGTGGAAGGTCAAGCTCTCAGGGAGACCGTGGAGGACCCCGCGGAAGCTTTAACAGAGAGATCGAATCAGAGGAAGGTGAGACAGTCACAAGATATCTTCCACTCGATAGCTACATAAGTCTTCTAGAGGAAGAAACCGGAGAAACCGGTATCAAATATGGGAAAATCAGACAAACACTTGTGAGGCGATTCGGAGACAACGCAAGCCCGAGAGTTCTCTCTGATTCAATGAAAAGGAATGGGCACAGAGGAGTGTTTAGCATGATCCTAGGGAAGCAGAGCGAGGTTAATACAGGCGGTGCAGAAACTGGATCCTCGAGTTCGATTCCGGAGAATGGGATCTTGTTGAGTGGGTGTCAAACAGACCAAAGATCAGAGGATGTTTACGTGACAAGAACTCGTAAAGCTTATGGAGCATTCAGTGACGCGATCCAGACGGTTTTGTCGCAGACGAGAAAGGGTAAGAAGATCACCAACAGAGATATGGTTGTGAAAGCTAGAGAGATTCTCAGGAAACAGAACTTTAGTCAACGGCCAGGTTTGTATTGTAATGACCATTTTGTTAAACAACCATTTATATGTTAAACACTTGGAGTTTCTTTACAGAACTGTTGTTTGATTACCCATTTTGTTTTTGTATTTGTTTAGTGGGTTTAACCAAGTCTCACAGTGACTTGCGATACAAGTAACATACATGTATTTTCACGACGATTATTTCAATGTTTGCACATATGGGAAATATAAAACGGCAACGTGCAAACCTCTTAATAACAACTGTATTATGCATAATAACCAAATTTAAAAAATCAATATTGGTAAACCTAAACGGTACCTTAATTTTATTTTAAACAAGTTGCTTACTGTATATTCAGTCATGCACGTGATGCTCACCTGGATTTGGGATGACAATGGGCTGGTGACCACGTTTATATGATTCATGATTATAAATTGGCAGGGAAAATGTCGCATCCGGCCAATTACGTTGGTGGAGCACGGCCATTGTAATTCTAGCTTCAATTCTTCTAGGGTCAAACTTTTATTTAATTCGTTTTAAACTCACAACTATTTAAAAAAAAAAAAAAAAAAAAAAAAACTTTTGACTATTCTTTTAACCATTATATCAATTCAAGTCATCATTCATCATCAACCAATAATTTGTTCTTTTGTCAAATTCTTATACTCTTCCTCGTCCATAGTGTCACATAGAACACTTCCTCTAGTCTCTGGCAACCCAACCACAAACAATCCAAACAGCCCTATGACCAACCCAAACAACCCATACGACCAAAACGGATTTTCCCGACCCGCAGCAACCATCACCGGACTAAAAACGCCGCCAAACACCAAGGCCTGCCTCACCATCGCCATCGCCGAGTTCCTTACACATGTCGGAAACAGCTCGATCGTGTATATAAGCGTCATGTTAAACGCGGTGCACGCGCTGAAAAACGAAACCAGCTCTAGCACTATCTGCAATGACCCTATTTGGTGTCCTAACGCAGCGACTAGAACGCTAGAGATTCCACTTAGAGCTGTGAACCCGATCAACGCGACTCTTCTGTTGATTTTATCAAAGAAGAAAAACGTTACAAGAAACGCTGGGAATTCTGACAAGGCGTTGAACACAACACCTAAGTAAAGATTGAAGTTCAGATTCGCCAAGGCTAACGGCATTCCGTAGTAAGCCATACCGATACCGAATCCAACCGCCATAACCGTTAATAATCTCCAAAGTGACCAAGGCTTCCTCACCAAGATCTTTAACGCGTCGTAGACATCAGGGTTTGATCCGGATCCATCCTCTTTTACATCAAAACATAAGTTGGAGAAGCTCATAGTGTTTTTGTTAGAAGAAATGCTTTGGAGAGTCGATACGGCTTCTTCTTTACGCCCCTTCACGATAAGCCATCTAGGCGACTCCCGGACGAAAAACCGGACTACCATACAGTAGACTAGAGTTGGTATGGATGTCCAAACGTAGAGATACCTCCAAGAATTCCCGTTATTGATGTAACCTAACATTGGAAGCGATAAAAACCCTAACGTGAAGCAGAAGAATCCCATCGCACCGACTTGTCCTCGCCATTTTTTACCGACTAGCTCCGTCGACAGAACGAGCGCGCAAGTCCCGACTGTTGCTCGCCCACACCCGTTCACGAATCTCAAGAAGGCGTAAAGCCAAATGTTCGTTGAGAAAGCTGTTAACATCGAAGACAGAGACATAATGAGACATGACAACAAGAGCATGTTTTTACGGCCGAGCGACGAGTCAGCGAGCGTAGACAGAGCTAAGCCACCGATTAGACATCCGAGGAAGAATGAGCTTGCAGGCAAACCGTTGATGAACGAGCCCGCACACTGTAGGCCCCACTCAGATACGATTGACACGTGTGGCTTGAAGTCCCAGGACCAGGTTTGGTTGGGTAAGGTGCAGAGGTTGGAGGACGAGTTGCAGACTGAGTTGGCTGGGCCCGAGTCGACGCAGTGCCACGTGGGTTGTGAGTCGGTGAAGACGGTGATGAATGTTTGTTGAGCGTCGAAGAGCCAAGCCAATGAGATTAAAGCAGTTTGGAGAAACTGTGCCCACCCGAAGTTTCCGATGCACTGCTCGATCGTCTCGTCGAGGGATTTTGGTGGTGGAAGCTTTGACTCGGACAAGTTGGAATCGGAGAGAAGAGGCCGAGTCGAGTCTGCCATATAGAAGAAGAGTTGGTTTGTTTTGTTCCTTCTATGTTTGATTTGATTTGCATGTCCATGGAAATCTTTTACTCTACATATAAAGAGAGGATAAGCCACAACTTGTGCGCATTATTTTTTTATTTTTTTTTATTAGAAGACAATTAATTCGTTCCATTATCTCTGATATATTATTGGATGCTAATCGAATAAAACACATTTTTTACTTTTTTGGGAATGGTGCTTATGATATCGGATTGAGATTTGGATAGTGATAAACAACATGATTACATGTATTTGTTAAAAACATTAGCTAGTAATTGTTTTTTAAAAATATATTTTTTAATTTTATTGTCTTATAATTTTTGCAAGCATAATTAATTATGGGGACCTAAAATATTTACTTGACCAAGACCCCTAATCTAATGACACTGAGCCGACGATGGTTGTGATCCCACACTCAACCACTTTGGGTTTAATTACTCTTTTTTTAGGTGGATTGTTATTATTTCATGATATGGCTGTGTAACAAACACCTGTTTTATTAAATATACATCACTGTAAAAGGTCTTTATATCCTTTTGAACGTACTATATATCTTTTTTTTTTATTGTAAGACAACTTAGACAAGTACACAATTACAGTGTAATTTTTTTAATAATTACTTTTTGGTATTCCAATCAAAATGTTTTCTAACTACCATATGTCCAACTAATAAGTTACTATAATTATCAAGTTGCACTAGGTTCTGCAGCTGGACAAGATAAGCTTAATCATGCTTTACAGGGCATGGGAGATGTCTTTTGGAATGTCTATGGTTTAGTCATTTGGATTCTTATGTTTGTACCCTCGTATATATAAATTGTAAAGTAAAGAGATCTTAAACAAAATATATAACTATATGGAGCGATGGAGGTATAGTTTTGTCATATTGTATACACAGTATCTGAATGTCTTTGACAGTCCACATTGTAAATGGATGCACTACTTTTAAATTTTTATTATCTAACCATAGGAAGCAAATAACATATATCCCAAATTAACTTGATCGATTGTTGTATAATACAAACATTTAATATAAGTAAAAAATTTACTGAAATGATTTAATATAACTTGTTTATTTTAAAAAAATAATCATTTCAATGTATTACAATAATTTTTTATTTCATATGTATATTTCAATAACTTTGAATGCATAAACGCTATAAGATAATTTTTGTGTGTAAAATGAAAGCTATAAGATCTTCATTTGATAGAACTTTTAATGAGTTTGTGTTATAAAAATTGTCTAGCTATAGTCGAAACTATTTTATTTATCTTACAAAAACAGTAAAAGACCTTTAAGTTATATAACATGCATTTTCCGTTTTTAGTAAATTTACCCGCTTCTAATGGGAAAAGTAAAGAAAAAAAGAAAACAGAGGCATGGAGTAATCAAAGGATAATCACGTAAATCAGTAAATGTAAACCCCTCAAACTCTAAACAAAATAAAATGATTTAAAATATTGAAATTACTGACTAAAAAAACTGAAAAATATATATTCTTCGCTTTACAACAAATTTAAGTTTCTTTCACACTTTTTTCTGTATTCTTCTTTCTTTACCGCACTAATCTTTGAAGAATGCTCATAATCGAATCAAGAAAATGGATCCAAAATTGTTGTTTTGTTTACCAGAAGGAGATGCATTGTTTAATCCACTCAATACAATGTTTATTCAAATGTCTTGCATTCTCGTCTTCTCTCAGTTCTTCTATCTCTTCCTTAAACCCTGTGGCCAAGCTGGTCCCGTCGCCCAGATTCTCGTAAGTTTTTCACGTTTTGGTATTTCATTTTGAAACTTTCATTATTTTGACTCCTAAAATTTTATGATACTGAATCCCAAACCCAAGTGAAATTGTCTCTCCACAATATAAGTATTCAGAAATGAATTTTTGGGAGTTGAACAATATATTTTTAAGATATTCATCAGTAACTAACGTTTTGAATGTTTTATTCAGGCTGGGATTGTGTTGAGTTTGCTCACTATAATAAAGAAGGTTCACGAGTTCTTCCTCCAAAAAGACTCGGCAAGCTATTACATCTTTTTCTCATTCCTTTTGCGAAACTGTTTCATGTTCTTGATTGGTCTCGAGATCGATCTTGACTTCATGAAACGAAACTTGAAGAACTCCATAGTCATAACCTTGGGCTCCTTAGTCTCTAGTGGCATCTTATGGCTTGGTTTCCTCTGGTTTCTCATCCGTTTCCTTAATTTCAAAGATGATTATTTAACGCTCTACCTAGCCTTCCTCGTTACCTTGTCCAACACGGCATCTCCTGTCGTCATCCGTTCCATCATTGATTGGAAACTTCACACATCTGAGATCGGACGGCTAGCAATATCCTGCGGGTTGTTCATCGAGATCACCAACATATTCCTCTACACTGTCATCATGTCTTACATCACCGGGGGTATGATCGGCGATATCTTTGCCTACGCATTTGCCACCGGAGTTATAATCTTGATCAATAGGTTCTTAGCTTCATGGCTCCCAAAAAGAAACCCTAAAGAGAAATACCTCTCCAAAGCTGAAACGCTTGCATTCTTCCTCCTTATTCTAGCCATCGCGTTATCCATCGAATCCAGCAACATAAACTCCACAGTTTTCGTGTTTTTGATCGGACTAATGTTTCCGAGAGAAGGCAAAGCTTACAGAACGTTGATCCAACGGCTAAGTTACCCGATTCACGAGTTTGTTCTTCCGGTTTACTTCGGTTACATCGGGTTTAGATTCAGTGTCAACGCGCTAACCAAACGCCATTACATCGTCCTCGCTATGGCAGTGGCTCTTAGCTTTATAGGCAAGCTCCTAGGAGTTTTGTGCGCGTGTTCATTCCTCAAGATCCCAAAGAAGTATTGGCTTTTCTTGTCTACCATTCTTTCCGTCAAAGGTCATGTCGGTCTTGTTCTTCTCGACTCTAACTTGACGCACAAGGTATCACAAATTAGTAACAAGTCAGTTTATAATCAAATCTCTCTCTCTCCACTTTATTGATTTTTTTATCTCTCTCTCTCTCTCTGTAGAGATGGTTTACTCCGATAATTCATGACATGTTCGTTGCGGTTCTGGTGATCATGACTTTGTTGAGCGGAGTGTTATCCTCAATATTGCTTAAAACGCAAGAAAGGAGTTTCGCACACCAAAACACATCGCTTGAGCTCCACGATACCGCAGAGGAGCTACGAGTGTTGACTTGCGTCTACGGTGTGCGTCAGGCTCGTGGACTGATCTCTCTAATTTCAGCTATAAACGGAGCTTCTTCTTCCCTGTTCACGCCTTATCTCATGCACCTCATACCGCTCCCGAAGAAGCGGAAAACGGAATTGCTGTACCACGAGTTAGACCAAGAGGGTTTGAATTCCAGCGGCGGAGACGACGAGTTTGGACTTAACGAGAGCCTAGAGATCAACGACTCGATCGATTCGTTTACTAGAGACAGAAAGATCCTGATCCGGCAAGTGAAGCTCGTGGCGCAACTGGAGAACATGCACGAAGAGATCTGCAACGCGACTGAAGATCTTCGCGTCTCCATCGTGTTTCTACCGTTCCATAAACACCAGAGGATCGATGGTAAAACCACCAACGACGGGGAAGCTTTTCGGCACATGAATCGGAAGGTTCTGAAGCATGCTCAGTGTTCGATCGGTATCTTTGTGGACAGAAACATAACCGGTTTTCACCAGCTTCACGGGTCTGATTCAGTGCAACACGTTGCGGCATTGTTCTTTGGTGGTCCTGATGATCGTGAGGCTTTGTCCTTGTGCAAGTGGCTTACCAATAACCCTCAGATTCACCTCACTATCATGAAGTTTGTGGCAGACGAATCCAAGACTGAGAAACTTGTTGGAGACGCGGTGACTAAAGAGAACAACGAAGTTTTCATGGAGATTGTTGGTAGAGACCAGACCGAAGTCGAAACAGATCGAAGCTTCTTAGAAGAATTCTATGACAGGTAACAAATACTCTGTTTTTTTTTTTATAGTACTACATATTCCTACAAATATACTCTGTTTCTGTTTCTTGTCTTCACTAAATTTGTTATAACAGATATGTAACAACGGGGCAAGTTGGATTCATAGAGAAGCGAGTGAGCAACGGATTGCAAACGCTGACGATTCTGAGAGAGATCGGAGAGATGTATTCACTGTTTGTGGTGGGGAAAAACAGAGGAGACTGCCCAATGACGTCAGGGATGAACGATTGGGAAGAGTGTCCGGAGTTAGGAAATGTCGGAGATTTCTTGGCTTCATCAAATATGGATGTAAACTCTTCTGTGTTAGTAGTTCAAAGACATAGACACTCTTTTGATAGCTTTGTAGATGAATAAATAGCAAACATTCTCTAGTTCTCTTACACAACTTCATTTCTTTTGAAACAAAACTCTCAACAATAGCTACTGTTTAAGGCTTGGTCTCTTTTTTCCTGTTCTTCCATCGAATCGCAGAGACTTGAGCCTTTTTTCTCAGGGAGAATCAAAACGAATAACCCTAAACCAGACATGGAGAGTCCGAAGATCGCGAATGATACTGCCGGTAAGTCTCTTCCGATCGAAGCAATTAGTGGACAGCAAGCTCCTCCGACGACGAGAGCTTGTCTAAACATCATCGTTGCGGAGCTTCTCACGCAAGTCGGAAACATTTCAACCATATAAACCGCCATTAGGTTGAATCCGATCCTTGCGCAGAAGAATGTCCCCAGTTCGAACGCAAACGCGATTCCTGTTTTCCCGAGAACGCTGAGAACGAAGCAGAGAACTCCTGATCCTCCGCCGAGTAAGGTGTTTATGAGAAGAGAGCTTCTTCTGTTGAATCTCTCCAGCAAGATCGGAGTGATAACGAAAGTAGGTAACTCCACCAATGCGTTTAGGGTTTCGCTTAAGTAGATGTTGACGTTTATGTCTCTAGCTGCTAACGGAACACCGTAATACGATATTCCTAACCCAAACGTGATAATCATAACAACCATAATCCTCCGAAAAGCCCATTTCCGGATGAAGAAGTCCTTGATCGAGTAACTTGGCCCTTGTTCAGAGGTTTCGTGCTGGAGGGGTAACTTAGAGATTGACTCCAAGTAGGCTATTTTCTTCGGTGACATCCTTTTGAGAACATCAATGGCTTCTTCGTCGTTGCCTTGCATGTGAAGCCACCGAGGTGATTCCAGTGTGAAAACGTGGAGGAAGATACAGTAGAATGCTGCGGGAACTGCTGTATATATATAAAGAAATCTCCATGAAGAGTGTTGAGCAAGGTAAGCGATTCCAGACAATGACATAAACCCTAAAACGAATAGGGCGAATGGAATCATCGTAGCTCTCGGTCTCCATTTCGTGGAGACTCGCTCGCTGATGAGAACCACCGCGTATGACCAGGTCTGAGAACGCATGAATCCGATGAAAAATTTCAGCGATGCGTAGATCCATAAGTTGGTTGAGAAGCTAACGGATATGGAAGTGATTGACATTGCAAAGGTTGAGAAGACAAGTAGTTTCTTCCGACCCAAGGAATCGTCTGGGATCAAAGCTAGCAAAAATCCTCCAACAATTGCACCGATGTAGAAAGCAGAACTAGGCATACCTCTGAGTAATGAGCTCGAGCACTCGAGGCCAAATTCTGAAATGACGGATCTGCCCTTGGAACCACCGTCCCATTCCCAGGCTGATCTTGGAAGCTTGCAGATGTCGGAAGCCGAAGGATCACAGATCATGTGGTTAACACAGTGCCACTTGGGGTACGCGTCTGTGTAAACGGTGATGAAGATCTGTTGAGCATCGAAGAGCAAAGCGAGTCCAACGAGGATTATCTGGAAAATTTGCCAGAACTCGAAATCAGATAGACTCTCTTCGACGATCTTGTCGAAAGTCAGTTCTTCTGATCTGGTTTTTTTGTTGACTTCATGATCATCGGCGAGATGAGACAATAATGGTTCTGACCGATCGGCCATTATTGTCCAGTTTGGAGTTTTTTTTGTTGTTTTGAAGGGTTTGACTACTGATTTTTTCCCTTCTTATCAGCTATATGTAGAAATCTGAATCTATATTTTGATTAAATGCAAATCTCAGTACAGCATTGGATTCGACCGTGTTTAATACAGTATGTGTTATGGTAATATCTTAAAATGTGCTCGTGATCAGCGTGGGTCGACAAAGTCAACGTAATAAATTCATTACTATATTTTTTTGGATGTTTCTCTTTTTTTAATGGATTTCATACTTTTTTTGTTAAAGTTAATGGATTTCATACTTATTATAGTTTACACAGTTCTCACAAAACTTAACATTACTTAACAGTTAACAGGTAACTATTTTTTTTTTGCTAAGATAACAGGTAACTAATTTGAATTCACTAACTACAATAGAAACTCTATAAATTAATACTCGATAAATTAATAAACACGATAAATTAATAAATTTCTCCGGTCCCGAGTTGGGCCGGTGTAAAATATGACACAATTCGATAAGATAATAAGATAATAACTTTTTTTAAACTCCTATGTAAAATATGGTCCCAATAATATCATAAATTAATAATTATCATATATATATATATAAGATATCTAACTACTAAAATATGAATCTCTTGACACACCAAACCTATATGGAAACTAAAAGAAAAAGAAATTTATAATATATGGCAAGTATGAGAAAATGTAAACAATAAAGTAAATATAGAAACATAAAAAAAAAGTTAAGAAAATATACATAAAGGAAAGTTTTTATTTAATTTGAAGGAAAATTTAAAAGATTATTGATATTGAATTTTCTTTTGAAATTTTTTAGTCAAAATCTATATATTAATAACTCTATAAATTAATAAAATATCAAAGTCCCGACATTATTAATTTATAGAGTTTCTACTGTAGGTCTTTAATTCACTAACTACAATAGAAACTCTATAAATTAATAAACACGATAAATTAATAAATTTCTCCGGTCCCGAGTTGAGCCGGTATAAAATATGACACAATTCGATAAGATAATAAGATAATAACTTTTTTTAAACTCCTATGTAAAATATGATCCCAAAAATATCATAAATTAATAATTATCATATATATATATCTAAGATATCTAACTACTAAAATATGAATCTTTGACACACCAAACCTATATGGAAACTAAAAGAAGAAAGAAATTTATAATAGTATGCCAAGTATGAGAAAATGTAAACAATAAATTAAAAATATAGAAACATAAAAAATGAAAGTTAAAGAAAATATACATACGAAGGAAAGTTTTTATTTAATTTGAAAGAAAATTTAAAAGATTATTGATATTAAATTTTCTATGTATGAAACTTTTTTTAGTCAAAATCTATATATTAATAACTCTATAAATTAATAAATTATCAAAATCCCGACATTATTAATTTATAAAGTTTATACTGTAGGTCTTTAAATCAAACTTATGTTTACTTATGGTCTCTTTAATACCATATATATAAAAATATATGGTTGGTCCTCTCCTTTGACAAACATGCTTTCAGTTCAGATCTTCTTAATCACATTTACTTTTTTTTTTTTGGCGTCAATGACAAGCCACAACTATTTAGACACGTTTTTATAATGCATTTTTCTTATATAATAAGGAATGATAGAGACACATAAATCTTTCGAAACACAGGATCGGACAAGACAAGTTATAGTTTTTTTGTTTGTTTGTTGCCGGATTAAAAGGTTTTCACCGAGCCGATCCGTTCACATGCGGGATTTAATTCCATGTTAGTCGACCTGTTGACGTCATCACATATAGTATACTTCATACTATATTCTTTTCCTTGGTTATACAAGATTTTTATATCTGCAAAGAAAACAAAACTTGATTTTAAACATGTTGAATCCATTCGAGAACACCCAATAAAAATATCGATGATTTGCAATGACCCTCTTATATTTAAATATTCAAACAACGGATTTATCTTCTTGATTAGCCGATCAAATAAATCTTTTTACACGTGTAGAGAAGTATGACTCTTTTTTTTTCCTTTTCTTAAAAACCTAATTGGAAGTTTGGAACTGTCAACTATGGTGCATTTCAATTATATGGCTACATTTCATTTGAGTATCTTACTCTAACATTAGAGGATAGGACCGACCCGTCGATGATATGGAAGGGTTCCACGCGTTATTTACCAATCTAATTTTGGTTATATGCTCGTGATGACTGAAGGGAAAAAAACCAATCGAAATCTTTTAAGGTCGATTATTAAGATATCTGAAAAATTAAATCCAAATCAACAAAAAAAAGAAAAAGAAAAAATCTTTGAAAAGTAAAAATATATCAGATTTAACGAAATAGTTTTTCTTCTTGTCAATTTCTTCCTAATGAGCTCTACGACATCCTCAATCGCCTTAGTCGGTGGATCCTCTGAGGCATCATCTCCTGTCAGAAACACCTCAAAGCGTCCACAATGTGATCTCATCATCTATTCCCCAATTGTTCCATACATTTTTTTCATTGAGAAATTTGCAGTTATTTTCTTTTCAGAATTTCTATTTTTTGGATGATTTGATAGATAAATATGCAGTTTGGGATCGTAACTAGTTTTCTGGAATCCCTTTTTTAGTTTCCACCCTTGATTCATGCAATTGAGCAATCCTTCTATGTTTTTCTCTCGGGATAAATTTATGTGCGTATAGAAAATATGTCAGAAACTCAAATTCTTTGTTTAAAATGTTGCTGCCTAGCTACATTGATCATCATATATAACCTAGTACACACACAAATGGGTGCTTGTATTAGTTTGGTATCTTTAGTAATCCATTTCATGTGAAAAGCTAACAAGCTCTACTTGAAACCCATTTTGTGTTTGCTGAATTGATGTAACACCCAACAAAGCAAACTGTGTTATTACCTTTTGATTTCTCTCTTCTTAAGAGAAGTTTATTAGAATCTGTAAACTAGAAACCTAATTTGCCGGCCAAATTCTCTTCATCAGATTCAAGATTTACCCAACAGGAGCTTCCAGCATGCAAACCAATTCTTACTCCAAAATGGGTAAAAAAGCTGCAATGACTCATATATTTGTAACATTCTTAGGGGTGCAGTTTCCAGTGTTAAGTATAGTTTAAGTTTATTTTTTCTTATCTTATTTTGCACAGGTGATTCTGACTTTTCTTATCTCTGGGGTCGTCTTTATTCCTCTTGGAGCCATTTGCCTATTTGCTTCTCAGGGTGTATGTTTATTTCTTTATTTATTTTGATGTCTTTTTTTTTCCACATTTCTTTCTAATGTGAAAATGATTTTTTAAACTTTTGTTCTTACATGAAGGTTATCGAAATTGTTGATCGATATGACACAGACTGCATTCCATTATCCTCTAGAGACAACAAAGTCAGATACATACAGGGCGTAGAAGATAAGAGGTGTAACAGAACAATAATGGTAGATATCTCTATCATCTTTACAATTCTTGGCTTCTTTCTATATTAATTCTTCTTAATTAGCTTTATTTCATTTTGATAGGTGACAAAAACTATGAAGAACCCTGTCTATGTATATTACCAGCTTGAGAACTATTACCAAAACCATCGACGGTAATATTTTACTATCAGTATACACACACACACACACACACACACACACTTGTTTTTTGACTTTTCATAAAATTTCTAAAATGACAGTCTTGCATGCACATAACCGTTAAATAGTTTGAGACAGTGATACTTTTTAATTTGATGATCTTGCATGCAAATTGAAGGTATGTGAAAAGTCGACATGATGGACAATTGAGAAGTCCGGAAGATGAACACGATGTGAAATCATGTGTGCCAGAGGATAATGTAGGTGGTGAATCTATTGTTCCTTGTGGTCTTGTTGCTTGGAGTTTGTTCAATGATACTTATGACTTCACTAGAAACAACCAAAAACTCTCTGTGAATAAGAAAGGCATCTCATGGGCGAGTGATAGAGATTCAAAGTTTGGTAAAAACGTTTTCCCAAAAAACTTCCAGAAAGGATCTCCCATTGGCGGTAAAAGTCTTGATCCAAAGATTCCAGTAAGTCTCTTTGAAATGTTATATAGAATCTTGCATCTGAAGTAAGATGAGACCTAACCAGACCTAACCAAATTTGATGTTTGTGACAGTTGAGTGAGCAAGAAGACCTAATAGTGTGGATGCGAACTGCGGCTCTACCAACATTTAGAAAGCTGTATGGTAAAATAGACACTGATCTTGAAGCTGGAGACACCATAGAGGTATTGTTGCAGAACAATTACAACACCTATAGCTTCAATGGAAAGAAGAAGCTTGTGCTATCTACCACTAGCTGGCTCGGTGGGAGGAATGATTTCCTTGGGATTGCGTATTTGACTATTGGTAGCATATGCTTGTCCTTGGCTGTTTTCTTCTCCGTCTTGTATCTAGCAAAACCAAGGTACACATTTCATTCCCTTACAATGCTACATTTCATCGGAAGATGCTTGTTGAGCTCTCTGATGATATGGTTTGTTTTTGTGTTTCAGGCAATTGGGAGATCCATCGTACTTGTCATGGAACAGAAGTCCCGGAGGTGGACGATGATTGACTTTTCTCAGGCTTTAATTGCCTCCATTGTTGGAGGTAGTCACATATTTCTGATAAATAAACTTACAAGCGTTTTCGTTTGTCTAGACTAAAATGGCCACAAGAGAAAAATTATGTATAGATAAACCCATTTATAAGAAGATCCGTAATCCAAAAAGGGTTGTAATATTAAGTGATAGTCTTTATTTTTGAGTACACGATTACAAAGAAAGTAAACTCAGGAAAGCTAAAACGATTTCTTTTCGTAAGAAACGAGTCCATGGATTCCACCTTCAATCTGTGCTGCACCGGTACGAGCCTATTCGCAATAATCATAACCATAAAACGAAAAAACACTAACATCAAAATGACGAAATTCGCAGTGTAAAAGAGTTTTCCAAGGAGTAGAAAATGACAGCTTACCTCGAGTCTAAGGACGTTCTCTCTCAATAGACTGTGAGCGGACTCCAAAGAAGAAGCACCAAGATCTTGGAAACCTTGCTTCACGGCATGCATTGTGTAAGGTATAAACTTCAACACCGAGCCTTTATCCGCAACTGCTCCAACCACTCCTTGTGCGATCTTGAGTTTCGCGGTATCTCCCAAGTATCTCTGGTCGCTTCCTTTGGTCATCGCTTCTAACGAACCCATACCTCTGTATTTCTTCACTCTCCTACCGTTCTGTAACAGACCAAACAAACGCAAAACCATTGAGAAAAATATCATGGAAACTGATCAGAATCTATATTCAAAGTAGGAAGAAGTAGTGCGCAATTACTCTGTATTCGTAAGCTCCAGGAGCCTCAGTGCTTCCAGCTAAGAAGCTTCCCATCATCACAGTTGATGCTCCAAGAACCAGAGCTTTCACAATGTGACCTGAGTTTGAGATACCACCATCTGCGATAACTGGTACACCGTGCTGAGCAGCAAGCGTTGCGACTTTGTACACAGCAGTGGCCTATAAGATTACCAATCAAATAAAAGTTCCCAACTTTATAAGTCGTAGTTCATAGAGTTAATGTAAATATGTCAAATATGAAAGCTTTTTTAATTTACCTGTCCTCGTCCAACGGCACAAACCTCTTGTGTAGTGCAAATAGATCCAGATCCCATACCAACTCTCAACCCATCAACACCTGCTTTGATCAAGTTCTCTGCTTGGTACATAGTCACCACATTCCCACCAACCACATCCAGCTCCGGATACAAGTTCTTCACATACTTGATCATCTCAATCTGGTAAATGGAGTTCCCTTGTGAACTATCCAGCACCACAACGTTAGCCCCAGCTTTCACCAAGTGCTGCAGCCTCTCCTTGTCTGATTCCCTCGTCCCTATGGCTGCACCAACCATCCATTTCTCGTCTGCACCGACGGTTCCTGACCCTAACTTGGGGTATCCTTTAACCCGCTCCACATCGTCTTTTGTTACCACGTTCACGGCCTCACCTTCCTTCTCCAGAACCACAAAACCTTTCTGCTTATCTTCCAAAACCGCCTCGATCTTGTCGAGATCGATATCCCACGGCACATAGTAGTCTTTGCTCTCAATGCTCCGCATGTAATCGTATATCTTCATCTCCTTTTGGTCATCTTTCATACTCGACCATTCCGATTTCGAGACGTACCCCAACAAACTCGGTGTCAACGTCCCTGCAATTCAATCAACAAGCAAGCTATTCAGAATTTACACGAACACTATTGCTTTCATGATTCCTTTCGAAATCAATCGGACTAATGAAATTGAAGATTCATAAGTACCAATAACATAATCAATGTGAAAGCTTTCGACGTATATCAAATCGTATTCGGTGTTCTGATTCATTTCGGAAATGTTGATTCTCAGACTGAAATTGGTGGGTAAATTTACCTGTTTGGGAGACGAAAACGAAGGAAGAAGGACCGAAATCGTCAACAGAACCAATCTGAAGGTCTGGGGATTTGAAAACGGCGTCGGAGGCAATCGGAACTCGGAGAGACTTGGCGTGACGGATGACGGAAGCCTGAGTGGCGATGTCACAGTTGTAGTGAACGATTCCGATTCCTCCAAGCGCAGCCATAGCAGCAGCCATGTGGGACTCCGAGACGGTGTCCATCGGCGAAGCGACGCACGGGATCGAGAGCGGGACGCGCTTGCTGAGGCGCGTGGAGAGCGAGACGGCGTCCGTCGAGAAGTCGATGTAGTGAGGCAGAAATATCACATCGTCGTAGGTGTAAGAGTATCCCTGCGCGAACAGCTTCGCAGCTGAGAACCCGTCCTCGAATGCTGACGACATCTCCACTACACCAATGGCGTCGCTGCTGAGAGAGAGAGAGAGATAAAGAGAAATGAACAGAGAGAGGGTGTGACTAGGGTTTAGTGAGGAGTTGGTGAAAGTTTAGGAGCGAAAGATGACAAATCGAAAAGTAGGGTGGATTAGAAAAAAAACGTAACCGAATATAGAGAAAACCAAACGAACCAAACCGAATCTAATAAGAGAGGGTTTATCCTAATCAGGGACAATATCGCCCGTGCATCCAAACAGTGTATTTCGGGTTATGTGGGGATCGGTTCGTATCGGTTTATCCGGATTGAAAATTCCGTATACGAGAGGAGGCTATCCACGCCAAGGATCAAACTGTTGGTAACCACACATTTCATCGCTGGGCCATTAGCTATTTGGCATCTCATTTTTCTTCAGTGCCTTCACTCACACTGCAACTTCCAGCTCAAGGCGTTTTTTCGGTCAGATCTCTAAACTCGTCTTTTGTCATTTTCGTTCGATGTTATTCAGTGAAACGAAATTGCATGGGTCTATCGCGAATTTTGGATTCTGATTTGGATTTTCCTTTGGAAAGTGCAGGTTTTGGTTTCCCGATCTTGAGCTCTGCGGTAAAAATGGCGGATTCATCGTCACTACTGTACAATCAGCTCAAGGTTGAGAATATTCACAATGTCGATTGTTTTTCTTCTTTTCTTCTGTTTTTTTCTGGTGAATTGGGTTGAGCATATTCACAATGCCGATTGTTTTTTTCTCTTTTTCTGTTTTTCTGGTGAATTGGGTTGAACATATTCACAATGCCGTTTGTTTTTTTCTCATATTATTCTTCATTTCTGGTGAATTGAGTTGTGTTATCATACGCACATTGGCTGCTTTTGTAGGTTGCTGAGCCGTTTTTCTTGTTGGCTGGTCCAAATGTGATCGAATCTGAAGAGCATGTGCTTCGAATGGCTAAAAGCATAAAAGACATTGCGACAAAGTATGTATGACCATCACCAATAAAGCTGTTTTCTTGTTTCTCTCTTGAGATTTTGTGTTCGATTGTGGTGGAACTAACAAACGAATTGAAAATCTGTTTCAAATTGATATGTATTGATTCAATATAGCATGTATTGTATCAATATAGCAAATGGGTCATAGTGGTGACCTTCACACAAGAGCATTTTAGGTTATTGATAGTTTGTGGTTTCTTGTGCATGTTCTTGTTGATTGTGAATGGCTTAGGCTTGGCTTGCCTCTGGTTTTCAAGTCAAGTTTCGATAAAGCTAACAGAACTTCATCAAAGTCCTTCCGAGGTCCTGGCATAGCTGAGGGCTTGAAGGTAATTTTCCCCTCTTTATCAACCATTCCTGTTCTGTGATGTGAACTGTGCATTTGAAAACCTTCAAGAGTATCAATGTAACAGGAATATTATATCTAATTATTTCGCTTAGAACCTTTCGTTTACTCACTCTTCTGGTTCTCTCCGCAGATTCTTGAGAAGGTGAAAGTAGCATATGATATACCAATCGTAACCGATGTGCATGACTCGAGCCAGGTATATTGAATATTTAGATACATCAAGAGAATCGAGTTCAACAAATCTTTGTTCCTCTCTGATGCTTAGTTTATTTTTGTTTAGTGTGAAGCGGTTGGCAAGGTTGCAGATATAATTCAGATACCAGCATTCTTATGTCGCCAGGTAGATTTCTAAGTTCTGACATATGCTTTCTTCAGCTCTCCTGTTTTTAGTTATCCAATTTCCATCTGCTGTGTGTATATACATCCTGGATTCATGGTTTTAACTATAAACTTTATCTCCAGACAGATCTTCTGGTCGCAGCAGCTCAAACTGGCAAGATTATCAATATTAAGAAAGGACAATTTTGTGCATCTTCTGTGAGTTATCTCTTCTGACTTGTTTTGATCTGGCAAAACATTATATGACAGGGGCTGACTTCATGTATAATACATCTTAAGGTCATGGCATATTCGGCTGAGAAGATTAGACTCGCAGGGAATCCGAATGTGATGGTTTGTGAAAGAGGAACCATGTTTGGATACAGTAAGTTAACATCTCTTTTTAACATAGCGGATCCTCAAAACAGCTTTGTAGTGTGTTCTTTGTGTTGAATGAACTGGAGGCGTAATTGAACATGTAGATATTTGCCAATTTTATGCAAATATATTGCGGCTTAAATAGACTAAAAGCCACACTGTATATCTCTATTGTTTTTTTTAACTCCTCACTGTCCTTACTATTTGATTTTGTTTCTCAGATGATTTAATAGTAGATCCACGAAATTTTGAATGGATGAGAGAAGCGAATTGTCCTCTACTCCGTTTCTTCACCGACACCGGCTAAGCACCCGTCAGTATCCGACTGGTGGAAGACGGTGATGCTATACAGAGACCAGACAGGCTCCAACATCACAGGAACTCTTGTCTTGTCCGGAGAGTTCCACGACCGGACGTACTCCCACGGATCTCACCTCACTCGCTTCTCTGTTCAGTCTGTGATCAGAACTGCCGTGACCTCCAAGTTACCGCTAAACGGTCTCAACGGCTTGTACTTAGTCTTAACCTCAGATGATGTAGAGATGCAAGAGTTCTGCAGAGCAATTTGCGGCTTTCACTACTTCACTTTCCCAAGCATCGTTGGCGCAACCGTACCCTACGTTTGGATCGGGAACAGTAAGAAACAGTGTCCAGAAATGTGCGCTTACCCTTTTGCGCAGCCTAAGCCGTTTCCGGGAAGTGGGTTTATGGCCAGAGAGAAGATGAAACCGCCAAACGGAGATGCCGGAATCGATGGGATGATCAGTGTGATAGCACATGAGCTGGCTGAAGTGTCGAGCAACCCGATGTTGAACGGATGGTACGGAGGAGAGGATGCGACGGCACCGACGGAGATAGCTGACTTATGTTTGGGAGTGTATGGGTCAGGAGGAGGAGGAGGGTATATGGGGAGTGTGTACAAGGATCGGTGGAGGAATGTGTATAACGTGAATGGAGTTAGAGGAAGAAAGTATCTGATTCAATGGGTTTGGGACCTTACTAGGAACAGATGCTTTGGACCTAACGCTATGAATTAGAGACGATAAATGTTTGTTACCTCTTTTACACAAAAGCCTTAAGCATAAATGCTTGAGGAAACCTGTAAATGGTTTATCTGGTTATTGCCAATTTACGACAACAAAATCTAGTGATTTATAGCTGTCTAGTTTCACTTGTGAAACAAACTCATGCTTTGACATCATCAGCATAAAACTCCCTCATCTGTCTCAAGCTTCTGTGCTGCCAAAACGTTTTAAGAAGACAGATACTTACACCGCCAAAAAACTACTGCCTTCATCTTGGGGAAAAAAGCTAAAAGACACAACAGCCAAGGAACAACCTGCGCCTTTTGTTGTAGAACATATTCTCGAAGAGGCCATGTTGTGTCCTTTAGTGTCTCTAACTCCTTACGGGTGGTTACTGATCACCACGTCCAAGGAGATCATTGACTGGGTCGGGGACTTCGCTAGCTGACTTTGAGGCCAAGTCATTGTTTCCTCCATCCTTTACTGACTCTTCTTCAGTGACTTTTGGCCTCAGCAGCTTCCTTTTCTTGTCCTGAGAAGCCACGTCATTTTCAATACGACTGCCATGGTTTCCTCTATCCTTTTCCGAGCCATCTTCAGTGAGTTTTGGCCTCAGCAGCTTCCTTTTCCTGTCCTGAGGAGCCAAGTCATTTTCGATAGGATTGCCATTGTTTCCTCTTTCTTTTTCCGAGTCATCTTCAATGAGTTTTGGCCTCAGCAGCTTTCTTTTCTTGTCCTGAGGAGCTGAATGTTTAGAATTGTCTTCACACCCTTGACTTGGATCACCAGGGCTCTGTTGAGCTTTGCTACGCCGCTTGAAATCAATAAACGGTCGCTTTTGAGCACTGTGTTCCATATTTTCTTCACAGTCCGACAGATCATCAGGAGTAGTTTCAGTAAAAGGAAGCATCGGATCATTGTCAAGTACCTCTGCTGTACGAATCGTTTCCTTTTTCTTCTTTGGTTTTCCGAGAACCTCAGGATTGCTCCGATTTGGTTTTTTCTGTACAGCCCAGTGCTCATTACAGTCGTTTAAAAAGGCCATGACCTCATCGACTGATTCAGAATCAGATATCGGAGAAGTATCCTTTTCAGCAACACGTTCTTCTGAAGGCATAGCAAGCCTGCTGAAGACGCTCTTTCTGGTTCTGTTTCTTTCGAGTGCAGCAGGACTAACACGTTCTTTCATTCGTATCACCCTCTTGTTAGAGTCAAGAGCATCACCACCAAATTCTTCATGTTGTTGGTACGCTTGAACTTGGTTCTGACTTCTCTTCTCTGAATACAAATCAGCTCCATCCCCTGATGTTGAAGGATAAGTAAAAGAAGGGTAAATTCTAGAATCACGAACCGTCCTCTCGTATGGATAAGAAAGATGACCTCCACAATTTTCCTGGCTTTGATATGCTGAAATTTCATTGTTGACTCCGTGTTTAGGAGATAAATCCCTTGATGGTAAAGGATAAGCAAAGGAAGGGATGATGCTGCGGTTGGAGTAAGACGACCTCTCAAAGTCCCTCGTGTTCTCAGCGGTCTCAGGAAACTGAGAATGACGCAAATGACCATTTCCATACTCATATTGAGATTCAGAACCAGCAACTCCATTCATGCCAGAGTTGGTTTGGTATTCAGGATGTTCAGTAGGCATTGGAATATAGTAATCCACGCCCAGAGTAGTGTTGTTCATGCTTGTACCATTGTGGTCATCAGAATATGGTTGGACTCTCTCAGAAAGCAAGGTGTCACTGACATAACCACCACCAGCTATAACTTCTTCTCTCAAAACATGACTTGAGTTGCTTGTATAGAAAGCTGAGCCCAGTGAATCAACATTAGGTGCACCAAATCCCTGCCTAGAGCTATTCATGGTTGCATGTCCTGGGATCCCGGGATCACAAGGGTCATAGTATTCTGTGTTTGTTCCATATCGTAATCCTCGAAGTACTGAGCTTTGAGCAGGAGCCGCTGGATCTGCCCCAAAATTAAGGCATTCCTCGTGGTTAGACCACATACTCGCCAGTGTGATACCATCTTTTTCATGGCACTCCTTTTCTGACCAGCCACTTGCAGTGTGTCTCAAGTTCTTAGGGACTCTTCGATCATTATAAGTAGACTGATTAGTTAAAGCCTCTGTCCCAAAACTATTATTCATGCTAGAATCATATCCTACTCTATCCTTTGATCCATGCACTATGGGGTCAACGAGTCTCCTATGAACCCCAGATGTGTCTCCTGAGTACTCATTTCTTCTAGTGTCTACGCCAATATCAGATTCATCCCCAAAACCATAGCTTTCTTTTAAGCTACGACCAAGACGATCTCTTGCAGATGTAACTCTGAAGGGAAACTCACGGTCGACATCTCCATCAGTGTCTTCTGCACCACGGTTGCCAAAGTCGCGATCACCAGCTGTATTTCCCAAACCACTTGCAGATGTTCTTGTGTGCTTTGCAACTGCAGTTTTCCTCGGATGTGATGATCTCTCTACCTTCTTCAAGCTAAACAACTTCAGTAGCCTTTGAACCTATAAATAACATTTCCAAATAGAAAGTGTCAGAACACAAAGGAAAGTAAAGCAAACCGCATAATATAGGCCAAACATGGAAAATACTTGAACAATGTTTAGATTTTCTGAATAAAACTAACCACACACCTGTGCTTTTGACAGTCCAAAATTGAACTTTGTTGCCGTAAAGTAATTATCACTAATAGCATGACGAAACTCCGTTTCACGAAGTGGCCTACAATGCCACATCTCAGTAAACTTGACCTAAGCAAATGGGATCAAGAAACAAACTTAGCAAAAGCAAAAAAAAACTCTCAATGAGGAACAGTGTGAAAGTAAATGCAAGTACCTGAGCAGGAAACTGTTTCCCAGAAGAGCAGAATGCATCAGGCTCAATGTTTATCGCACCATCAGAGCATGCCTGAAAGACGCCATGCAGCTCCCTACTCTCAAACTCAAACAAAAACAACAACATTCCAGCTTTGACCTGTTTTACAAATCCGGCTTGCCAATTTGGCAAACCGAAAAGCTCTCGCCTTAAGCATTCCTTTCTTGTGGAGTTATTGGACATGAAGATTGCACCATACTCTGGTTCTTCTCCAGAAGCACCATTAGATTCCTCCATAAGCTTCATCCTCCGATATTTCGACATTGCTGTTGCAGAAAACTAAAATAACAACAGGGCTAATTTTCCTCCATTCATCAAACTGAGAAGCTACTAGAAATCAGGAGACTTGTGGAGCCAAAAACAGAAGATTGATTAACACAAAAACAGTGCATTATATAGCAGCATTACAAAGATGAATCCACTCGAAATTGTTTCAGGATGGACACTAAAGCCTAGTTTTAGCAGATACATTAACCAAAATCACTTTTTGAAAAATCGATTTGGAAATTCATGGCCAAAGAACACAAGCAACTTGACTAATAAACAGAGGTCGGGAAGGCAAATTGCACAGTCGCACGAAAAGTCAACAACTTAGCGAATAAACTAACACTAGTGAACATTCGCATACAAATCAGAAAACGCTGACGTAACTCACTTTCAAGCAAATTCAGGGATAATCGAACAATCAATCAGGCGTTAAGAGCGATAACACCGTGAAATTTTTCAAAGGAGAGATTGAGAAAAGGAATGCAGAAGCAATATGTTACCAACGGTGGTAAAGATTAAGACCTGGAGGAAAAATCACAGCTTCGGGGTTCCTGGTTTCAAATCGAACAGAGAGCAAACAAACATGCGAAACACACGTAAACGAGCACGAAATAATCGATTGAAAATCAAAATCGAATGAGAATCGTGATTAGGGTTTTATACTTTTTTGCAGTGAGTACCGGAAAAGACGAGAAGGAAACGGAGAGGCGAAAATCGAGAAGCGAGCGAAGATGATATTTTGCAGAAAACAAACGCGAATATCGAGAGAGTGGGTTTTATGGGTCTCTCTCTCTCTCTTTCGGCTATATAAATATTTCGGATGCGTGTTGGCCCAAAATAAAAACTGCACGCCGTTTTGGTTTATTTCGTTCAAAATTAATTACATATCCGGAAGTTTCCAGAAAAAGAACACTGAAATTGAAATATATCTCACCACATTAAAGTCCTAAAATACGGGGAAAAAAAAGAAACTTTCAGTCTGATAATAACATATATAAATCGTTCTATACTGTATATGGATGTGATGATTCAAATACAAGAAAAACATGGCAAACAAAAAAAATCACACCACAGTATTTAAAAAAAATCTCCATTTTGGATTATTTAAGTGCGATTTACTATATTTTTACTGTCACACATAAACGTACCTTTTTAGTTTTTACCAAACGTATAATGACAAACGTGTGCAGCACCGGAACCGCGTCACATTTTCTGGGCTCACCAAAAAAAGTATTTTACCTTTCCCTGTTTTTTAACGCAAGAAATTTACCATTTCCTCCAAGTCCAGTCTTTAACGGATAGTCTTCTTGCGACTTGTTATCCTCCATTAACACAGTTTATCTGAAACAAACTCAAAGAAGAAGGTGAAGAGTGGGAAAAAAATATCATCGCTATACACGACACTATTCCATCGATAAACCCATCTCCGGTCATGTAAGAACCAACTCTCTCACTCTGGTTTTTGGTTTCCCGGTTTGGAAAATGAGTATCCGCAGAATTTCTCCAACTCTTGATAGATTTTTGTGAGTCAAATGGTTTGAACATACCATTGCCTTGTTGTATCTAATCGATTACGTGTGTCGGTTTTCTGCTGGGTGTTGTTATGGTTTCTCTAAAACATTTTGAGAATTTGGGTTCTAAAGAAACTGAAAGCTCTAAACTTTTTCCAGAAAATTTGTTTTTTTTTGTTTAATTGTTTGACAGGTTGGTAGCTGGAAACGCTTTGAGTTGCTTATTCATTGAACCCAGTGGCTTCCATAGATATTTGGGTTTTGGAGTGACACATTTCACTTGTGGGACTGTTAAAAGCTGTAAAAAGGAAGGCTTTGTCATAGACGAACGCGGGAAATT